ACACTTTAGTATAGCTAAGACTATAGACCTAATACGCCGAAAGTACTTCTAGCCGAAGATAGCCGAGGACATTACGGCCTATGTCCGTACCTATAGAATTTGTTAACGGTTAAAGGCGAAGCGCTATCGCCTATACGGCGAGCTCGCTACGCTACCTATACTAACCCGACTATAGTAAGAATTAACGATAGACTTTATTACCGATCTCCCGCCGAGCAAGCTCGGTGCCTATATATATACTACGATCCTCGTAATAGTCGACCGCTATACGAAGATAAGCCTCTTTATCCTAACGACAAAGAAGTATATAGTAGTAGAACTCGCGGATATCCTTTAAAGGAAGGTAATTAGGCGTTTTAGAGTGCTATTAGGTATTGTTAGCGATCGTAGATCGCTATTTACTAGCTAGTTTTAGAGCGACTTCTGCTTCGAAGCGTATATAAAGCGCAGGCTTAGTATAGCCTTCTATCCTTAGACCGACGGGTAAACCGAACGCGCGAACTAGACCCTCGAGCAATACCTACGATACTATTGCTCTAAGAATTAGGATAAGTAGGCTAAACTGTTGCCTTAGGCTGAGTTTGCCTACAATAATAGCGTTCATCCTACGTTGCGTATAAGCCCCTTTAAGATGCTCTACGGCTTTAACCCTAATTTAATGCCGAGCGCAAATAAGCTGCTAGCTCGGGACGAGCTAACTAAGGGAAGGGCACTAGTAGCTATCGACGCTACGGAGCGACTACGGAAAGCGTATAAAACGCTTGCGGAACGCTAGCAGAAAGCAGTAGAATACTAGGCTAAGCAATATAATGTATACTATACTGCTAAGACATATAGTATAGGCGACCTAGTCTTGCTATCGACAAAGAACATTAGCTTAGATATCCTAAAGAAGAAACTTAGCCCGAAGTATATAGGGCCTTTCTACATTATTAACGTAGTTAGAGCGTAGGCGTACCGCCTAGCACTGCCGTTAAGTACGAAGATCTACAATGTTTTCTATGTTTCCCTCCTCGAGCCTTAGTATAGGCGCGATAGCGAGGAGTATAAGATAAGCATACCTATCGCTAAAGGTAACGAGTAGTAGGTAGAAACAATCGTAGTAAAGAAGATAAAGAAGCGGAAGGCGTACTACTTTATTAAGTAGCGAGGTTAGCCTAAAGAATACAATACTTAGGAGCTAGCTATTTATATTAAAGATTCTATAGCGTTAGACGAGTTCGAAGCTTAAGCGAAGCGTAAGCGCAGGCAGTAATTAAAACAAAAGAAAATAAGACTTAAGAAAAAAATAGTAGATACGTGCTCGTTTCGCTACTAAAAAGGGCCTATCGGCCTAATATATATATAGATAGCGCTACGTAGGCGCGGCGACGGCGGACCGCCTACCCTACTTATCCTTAGAATCCTTAGCCTCCTCCTCCTCTTCGATGCCTATAGCGGCATCGATAGCGGCGACGGCCTTAGCGCCGACGCGCTAAGCGAGGTTCTAGTGCGGTTAGTATACGAAGCGTAAGCGAAACGAGGCTATAGGAAAAACTATACCTAACGACTAATCTCTACTAAACTAGCTAGGTTAGTACCGATATGCTCGAGGGCACCGAGGAGGTTAACGTCTATAAGGGACCCGCTAGCGGCCCCCTTATAGGCTAGGGCTTTACCGCCGGGGGTTACCTTATTCTTGTTAGTATAAAAGACGTATAGCGTAGATAGGATAACTAACGTCGAGGTTAGTATACGAAGCGTAAGCGGAGCGTATAAGGAATATACGTGCGACTATAGAGTCTAGCTTGGCCTAGAGTGCCTCTAAGGCCTCGTTAGACTCCTCGATAGAGTCGTAGCCGTCTAGGTCGTATAGGTCGCGCGTAGAGCGTACGGCGCGAATACGCGCTAGCAGCGACACTAGTAAGCGGGCCGTAAGCGGAGTATAGGTGTAATAGCTACCGCGGTAGCGATTGCAGTTACGCTTAGTAGTAGGGTCTATATTGCTACCTATATAAACCTTAGTTAGGTCTACTAAAGCGAGTTAGTTGCGAAGCGTAAGCGCGTAGCAAGTAGCGAGAACACGTACCGTTAGCCGTTATATGCTTAAAGTAACGGATATAGCTCTCTAGGACTTTTAGGGGGCGCTAGGTAGGCGTAGTAGGTATCGAGGGCGGAGCGCCTACGGCGCGCTTACCCGAGGTACGCGAAGGAGTAGACATACTAGTAATGTTTTTTTAAATAGATGTTTAAAAAAGAAAAATCTTTAAGTAATACTAGGGGGGCGCAAGATACGAGTAGGTAGGGGGCAGGCGGGGGGTATTCGGAGCGCTTAGAAAAAGAAGAAGTTTTTAAGCGGGCTTCGAATGCTTTAAATACTCGCCTCGCTTTCGGACAGCTTGCGTTCTCGCGTAGCTACCGCGTTCTTAGAAATTTAGGCAACCTCTAGTTAGTGCTAGAAGTAGCCGCGCTTTAAATCTATAAACAAATAAGTAACTACGAGGCAAATTATAACGTGCCTAGCAACTATAGCCTAGCGATAGGTACGTATAAGACGCGCATATATAGCGCAGAGTATAAGAAATAGTATAATTTACTATATTGCCCTATAGCTAGGATAGCTATACCGGGGGAAGGAGATAATTGTAAGAACCTAAGTAAGTGAAGTCTCCTGTCCTGCCTTAGCAAGCCTATATAACAATTATGTAATATTATTACGTATAGTACGATGCAGCCGCGCTAGCGATAAGCTTGCTTAGCGTATGCGCGTAATGCTCGATTACTCGTACGGATATACTCGGTAGCCGGCACGGTAGATATGCTATCCGTACTAGGCCTAGTTAATAGTAGTCGCTCTGCCCTATTCTAAAAAAGGCACGGTTTAGTTCTACTTTCTACTACGGCGATTAGTAGAGGGTGTTCTATACGTTGCTATATACCTATTTTCTTACAAGTTGTCGTATACGATCACATATCTACCCTTAATAAACATCTTAACTGCCCGTTCTCGGTTAGTACGAGCAGTCTTCCTCGCTAGCCGCTACAGTATACGATAGGCAGGACAAAGACCTATCGTACTAAGGACATCGACGACTCGTCGCTTAATACTACTAGTATATAGGAACAGCCTAAAGGACTTGCTAAACTAGGACGCCTTCTTTAATAAAATCGATCGAGCAACGATCTACGTAATCGTAGCGATGCGCTTCTTCTAGCGGCTAAATTTGTCTCGGATACTAGGTTAATCTTTCTTAGCGATATCTTTAGCGGTATAGCGCTTATTAGGAAGCAAACCCTATAAGACACTATACTAAGTTAGCGCTATATCTTTAATAACTTTGTCTATCTCACTTAGCTTCTCTTGTCTATCGATAGTAGAGTCCGGATCGTACTAGTTAAAGAATTTCTTGCTAACGAGCCTCTTCAACTTAGAACGGAGCCTACGAGTACTTACGAGACCCTCGAAGGAGAAGACATCGATAATCTTATCGATACGACGGCGCTATATCTTTGTTCCTAGATCTCCTACCTATATTAAGAGCAGCTTTAGCGCAGTAAGGTACTCGTAGTTTAGCAGGTCTATAATATTAGTATACTTCTACGGTAGAGTCTTTAGACTCTTACGCTTCTTCTTCTTCTTCTTAGCTGCTAAACTAGCTAGAAACTAGCGCTTCCGAGCGGTGCTAGGGCGAGTAGTACCGACAATCTAAGGCTCGACATTATTATTATTATCTAAGAAGTCTCCTTTATCTTCTAGTCGAAAGAACTAGCTACCTTTAGTACTAGCGGCTTTAGCTTCGACCTTATTATCGCTTATCTTATTATCCTAATCCTTAGTCTCGTAATTATCTTTATCTATTTCCTCCTCTTCTTCCTCGATAATAGGTAGCGCGACGTTAGCGCGTAGACCTATACGGCGCTCTTAGCAGGTTAGAATAACTAGAGCTAGCGCTATCGGAAGGCCGTATTCTGCTGCTATATCTTTAAGCTAGTCTAATAGTAACGCTAAAAGCTCGCTCGTCTAGTAAGGGCTATATTCTACGAGGCTATATTCTACGAGGCTATATTCTGCTACTATGTCTATAAGCTAGTCTAATAGTAGCGCTAAGCCGAGCTCGCTCGTATCGAATGCATTATATTGCTATAGTAGTATAGGCAAGCTAGAAGGCTCTATTAGTAGCGGCTTATCGTCTATATCGGCTATAATAGTATCGCTATCGTCCGATATTATCGCTAGATTAAATGCTAGATTAAATACTAGATTGAATGCTAGATTAAATACTAGATTGAATGCTAGATTATTACGACTAGATTATTGCGACTAGATTAATAGCGACGGCGTCGAAGGAATAGATTGTAATAGTAGCGACTAGTGCCCGCGAGCGGCGCGTCTAACTGCAGCAAATATATAAAGACGCACGGACTAGAAATATATATAAAGTCGATAAAGCTAAGTCTTAGCACGCAGCTTAGAGTAACCTCCGCTATCTAGATATAATATAATACTATATTGTCGTATATATATATGCTAAACGGGGATTATTATAAAATTAGCAGCGCTAGGGCCTCTAAGTGTTTATATGTCGATTAGGCGATGTTTTAAAATAGGTGTTTTTAGTAAGACTAAGTCTGTTACTAAAGCCGGCTTTTAGCTAGGCAGTGCCTTCGGCTTATAGACTATAATACAACAACCTAACGTCGTATTAACATAATTTTTAGGTAGAATGAAATCCGATCGCCTACTCTACGTCCTTATTACAAAATATTAATATATATCGCGTTATATACAATATCGCAAATTAGGGATCTTGGATCTGGCCCGATCGGTACTTTTGCTGTCAGACCCTTGCTACGCAAGGGGTTTATAAATAAACCGGTGGCTCGTGCGCTCTTAGCAAGGGTCTGATGGGAGATAGAAGTGGGCGTGCAAAAGGCCACTGCAATCTCCTGAATTGAGCTTGGCGTCCGCAATCGGCACAACAGGTGAATACACAGACACACGAACGACGGATATTGCAATTGACTTTTTAATCCATGTTCATTCTTTGCTTATATGCTTCTGTCTCCAAATCTTTCTAGCTTGGTCGTTACCAGTCATGTATGATTTCCCAACTCCGCCGCTATACTCGTATCTTAAAGACCTCACTCGCAACAGATGTACTTGGGTCCACTTCGTGAAAGCTGCTCAACTAAGCCTTCACGCAAGCCCAGTAAGAAGCCCAAGCAGTCGTTGCACCGCCATTCCACTCTGCGAACTTGCTCTGGTCGAAACCGTTCTCTGCAGCCAGAGCAACAACGGGCTTGCCGGGCTCGACGAGTTCAAAGATCTGGCAGCTGGAGATGACGTTTGGCATAGTCGGGACAGGAGTTTGGTCGGGTGTCCAGTGAGTGCCGAAGGGGGGCTGAACCGGAGGAGTGTAGTGGTACCAGGGTGTGTTTATGCAGACCGGAACATAGGCCTGAAGACCAGAGCAGGTCTGGCCGATAGATGGGTTCCACTTGTAGAATTGTGTGAGTGTGAAGTTGTTGAAAACCTTGCCAATGCTGAGGCAAGTGTCCGAAGGCTGGACAGTGTAGAAGGCCGAGCAGTCGTATGGGCGCACAGTGCAGACCTGGACAACATTAGCTAGGTTCAGAATGGTCAATAACACATTCACTTACGTATCCGGATAAGTCCGAATAGTACCCAGTGCAGTTGTTCGCTTGACGCGTCTCAAGCTCACCAGCGACAGCGGCTGGCATAGCGAGGGGTGAGCAGACAGCAGAGGCCGCGAGTGCGCCCAAGGTGAAGATAGTGAACTGCATCATGATGGTTCTGGATATTGCAGATGAGAATGAGGAAAGTCAGGGAGAATCTTCAATTCTGATGAGAAACTACCTTCGAGCGCAGGCTCGTGTTGTAATATATGCAGATAGTAAATGCTATTTCGAGACTGGGGTTACAGCCTTACTACAGGCAGTAGAACTATGGGCGGGGCGAACCCAAGGGTATGTATAAAAGGGCTTTTCGACCGGTCTCCAACGATCTGCAGCATGGGCTGCCTGTTCCGACCGGTCCTGGGGTCAAGAGCCAATTTGATCCACTCCATGGACTTCACGCCTTTTGGAACGGAATAAAAGGCTAGGCAAGAGAGTCCCATTCTGTCGAGGTGTCCTAGAATATATGTATGTCGCTTGGCATATTCGCCAATAGAATGAGTCTGGGGCCTTGTCCAAACGGGGTCCGAATCATCTAGGGAGGTGGATGCACAGCCTCCTCAAGATCCAGACCTTGTACAATTATATATACATCGGGTATACCCGGATACGGTATACTAGGATATCATCATATCCGAGCCTTCCGAGGAATATCAAGGCTAATTAAGCAACTTGGCGGGTTGCGGGTAAGATATCAGCGTATCCGGTAACTCCGCCTTGTATGGATACAACGAGCTCACCTTAGAACTAATAGAGAGTCGTATCTATATCCGGGGTTTCGTCAGTCACACTTCACCCCTCGCTAGTATGTTGCATCGTGGCCGCCGACTGGAGTCGTTGAATGCTTCTTGGCACTTCTCAGCGCGCGCCAGTCGTTCCCGCGGAAGTGGCAGTCAGTAGAAGGTCCGCAAGTGCTGTCCAGCACTGCAACATGACCTGCCATAACCTTCGCTGAAGTCCTTCAGTCGTTGAGCCGCATACATATATCGCTCGTTCTTGACGCCATCATCCGCAGAGGTCTTCAAAAGCCTCAAGAAGAGGTGCTTTCAGCATGTTCGAGGGCGCGCAGATACCGTGTAATCTTCATTAGCAAATGCGCTGCCGAGTCCGGGCAAACGACGCGGTCCTTGGCTCTAGCTCTCGTGAAGTCGTGGAGACGGATATAATGCTCGAATGGGGAATAAAGGGTGAAGTCGCGATGATGAAGTTGATATTGCATTCTTCCACACTTGTTGACAAGTTGTTCCTCGGCAGATCCGAACTCAAAAATGCTTGGCAGCAACAACGTCGCCAAGAATACAGACTGCATCCCACGTCACTGCAGTTCATATGAAGAGTCGAGTATGCAAACCATGGCCGAGCGAGATTGGAAGGTGGTGTCACTTTTGAGAGTACTGATATATACGGCTTGAGGTACTTAGATCTACCCCTAACATTACGCGTCCTTGGCGGCACATACCACATCTAACGCTGGTATGGCCGATCATGACCTCTGCTTGGGAAGGCTTGCGATTTGAGCCGGTCATGCATGCAACCTGCTTACACATAGGCTATTGCCACTTGATGTCTGCACTTGCGGCGTCTGCCCATCCTTGGACCATGCACGAAGCCTACGGACTTCTCTCGGGGTACAATTCTATCCGAGAGCACTGAAAGCGGAACACCCAACGGAGATGCTTGAAAGCACCGCTATCGAGCCCTTTATTGGCTCACTGTTCTATAAGGCAACTGGTAGCCAGGCCGGAACAAGTGTCATGGTCGCCATCATGATCATTCTTCTATCGGTAAGCTGTGTGAGCCAACTAACAGCAGCCTCTCAACAGCTGTGGTGAGTGGAAATCATGGACCTTCTTGATTTGTCCCGCTAAATTGAGAGCAGGGCATTCGCTCGCGATGGCGGTCTACCCGGGTCTTCATGGATCTCGAAAGTGCCACGGAAGTGGGACATTCCTATACCGGCCATCGTCGTCACCTTCATAATCACCTGCCTTCTAGCACTCATCAACATCGGATCGAGCGTGGCTCTCAATGCCTTCAACTCTCTCGCCTCGGTCTCGGTACTTTTCAGCTATCTGATGACCATCAGCTGCGCCGTGAGCAGAAGGATCTTAGGCCCGAACTTGCCGCCACGAAGATGGTCACTGGGCAAATGGGGAATGCTCATCAACATCCTATCGCTGATATTCATCACACCGATCCTATTCTTTGACTTCTGGCCTTTGATGCAGCCGGTGACGGCACAGAACTTCAATTGGAGCTCGGTAATGTTCGCTGGTGTGTCGACGATAGCGGCAATCAATTATGTGGTCAGCGCCAGGTTCGTTTATACTGGTCCCGTCAACGAGGTGAAGCGGGAGTAGAACCTCTACTTCCGATGAAGAACAAGGAAGAAGCCTGGCCAGATGGCATAGATATCTCCTCTATCTCGCTTCCACGCTTTTCTTCGGTCTATTAGATGCGAGGAACGAGCCAGGTCGCATAGTCGCCTATCATCTGCGCGAGCACTCATCTTCTAGGCATCCAGACTTCGCTTAAATTTGCTGACCTGGACTCTTCTCGCCCTCCAAGCCGATCTAGAGGGACAAGAACTGATTTAGACGGCGTAGTGTACTGCCATCTGCGCGAGCTTCATCGCATTTGGCCTGAGATCTCAACACCTTCTCACGCTCGCTCGCTTCCACACTATACATGGGCCCGGAAGTTGCGAGACACGAGCCAGACAGCGTATCATACTGCCCAATGCGCGAGCTCTAGCCATTCCAGAGCTCGATCAACCTCAATTTAGTGACCTAAACTCAGTCTCACGCTCGCTTCCTTCCGCGCTCTACGTTGATCTAGGCGGTACGAGAAACGAGGCAGAGAGCGTGATATACTGCCATCTACATGAGCGGAAGCGGTCTCCAAGTCCAAATCAGCTCCAAATTCAAAGGACTGTCCCTCGTGACTGATTGCTTCCAGAGTCTAGAGATGCTCTCCTCATATCAGATGTAACGCGAGGAGCTCAGTACCAGCTGAAGAAGCAGAGCGGTAGTGTTCTCCGGGTCCAAACCCGGCCCAGAAGTACAGACCTGAACACGTCAGGCTCGCTCGCTTCCAAAATCTAGGCTTGCTTTCCTAACGCGAAGGGCTCAGTAGCACTTGGAGAGGGAGAGTGATAGTCGTCGTCTCAAAAGGCCAGAAAATGACATGAGCTGAATGAATCTGGTGACTTGAATACCTCCTCACGCGTCTCGTCCCGGCCCCCTACCAGAAGTGACGCGAAGAACACAATGTCCGTTTTGAGGAGGAGAGCGTCAGACTTTACTGTGAACTTGATGGTCTTGTCATGCTCGATTGAAAAGGTGTCTTTCTTATGCGATAGGTCATAGGAAGGGCCTACAACCCGGCTGACTGCATGAGTTTCAGCTTTCTCGGAGTTCGGAGTCCGCACAAAATGTCGACCTTCGCATCTACTCACGACCGGCGTGCTTCTCGAATTGAAGCGTACCCTCCTTGCACTAGAAGTGACGCGAAGAGCTCAGTAGCACTTGGAACGGGAGAGGGGCTGCTTGAAATCGTGCTTTTGGGCGGGAGTTGTCGTCCGCTTTCATGCTATTTTACACCTATTTGTACATTGGCGACGGTATTACAACCACTAGTAGAAGGTGCCGCGTCCTCCGCGACCACCACGCCAGCCTCCACGACCACCGCGGTCTCCTCCGCGGCCTCCGCGCCATCCACCACGGCCGCCACGACCACGGCCTCCGCCGGCGCGGCTTGCCGCCAGCTCCTGGGCTCGCGCTACGGCGGCATTGATGTCGTTCATTGCGCCGAGGGGACCTGATTGAAGTGGCGCGACGTCTGCGTAGCCGGTCGCGGTTTCGCGGAACTTCTTCCGATTTGCCTTGGCCTTCTTGACGCCCTCCTCCGTGAAGCCCCAGTAGTTGCGCTGGTCGCGGTCGGGGTCCTTCCAGATCTTGTTGCCCATTGGATCGATGTCTAGGACGGAGTCGGGCGCGGTAAACTCGTCGAAGCAGTGGAGCATCTCACGGTGCAGGTGCTTGATGTCCTTCTCCAGGTCTGGGCTAGCTTCTTTGCCTGGGAAACCGTCAGCGGGCGGTTCGAATGCTCGTGCAAATGCCGCTCTTACCACCGCCCTCTACCTCGTAGCCGCCCTTTGGGAACGCTGCAGCCTTGAGTGGGTAGCCGCGCGTGTTCTTCATGTACAGACCGTTGGCGGCAGGAAGCCTGTGCCATGGCGCTTCTGGATTGTCCTTGACTCCGTGGCGCTTGGGCAGGATGATGGGATGTGGGTCGACATCTGACTTCTCCTGGCGGGATGTGGCAGTTGCGGCAATATCGCTGGTATTTGATGGTGTCTGCCCTTCGGCGAGCTTGCGCTGATTGTCTTCGCGGTACTGCTTGACGAGATCTTTGTGGTCGGTATCCCTGGCAGTATCCACGACTTTGCGCACTTCCACGAGCTCGTCCTCATTGAACCACGACATCGTTTCCCACTGGTTAATGAGCTTGTTGAGCCTTTGCAGTGCGTTGTCGGCGGGAAACAGATTGCGGGCAGCGACGAAAGCTACTAGCGTGGGCACGTGATCCTTGAAAGCTTTCACGGCGCCATCGAAATGCTTCACTTGCAGCTTCGCGGGAGCATCAGTGCTGTCTCTGATCCAGCCCCGAAGAGTGGCCATGACATCGTGCACGACGTAGAGGATGTGTAGTCGCTGCATGGATGTGTACGGACGTTGCACAGGATGGCCGGTTGCTGTGACTCCGAGTGCTCTGTATTGCTCGAATTTGTCGTCCATTGGTTCCAGAAGCGTGAAGCCCTCCGGCATGGGGTAGTATGCTGTGGCCATGTCGGTCAAATACTTCAAGAAAGTCTTGATGGCCAGCTGCATGTTCGAGTGGCAGACGATGTACTTGATGATCAAGCTCTTGCATTTCTGGGACGAGCGAGACCGGTAAGTTATGCACTGAGAAGAGATGTAAGGAGAGCGTGATGCGAAGAACCAACCTGAACATTCTCGGACGTGCAGATGTTGAAGGTGAGGACGAGCTGGTCGCAGAGGCGATAGACTTCCTCCTGTGTCAAGCCATTGGCGTGCATGGAATTCGTGAACAACTGCCGTGCTATGAGAGCGTTCTCGGCTTCGATGCCTTCTGATGGGTCACGGTGCACGTTCTTGGCGTGTGCCGCCATGATGCTGCGCGATGTCTACGGTGGCATGGGAGTGGTGGTGATGCGTTGTGCTGGGCGAGTGAGAGACGGAAGGGCGTGGGCGTGGGCGTGGGCGTGGACCGAGTGATGTTGTTCTTTTTGCAGCGCTCCGGCGATGGTCCAGAAGTCGCGGGGACGACGGAGGATACCACCTGCATACCATACCATACCATGCCTCTGTGGACGATGCTGAGAGAGAGATGGTTGTTGTGCTTCTGAGGCGAGGCTCTTCTGTCAAGCAGTGGATAGCTACTAAGCAGAATGATTTTCTTGCTGTAGAACACACGGTCATTAGCCACGACTTCTTTCACAACAAGGTGGCCCGGCCAATGAATGAGGCAGACAGAGTCAGTGCAGTAGTCAGCAGCATCGAGCCACGCATGTGCGCGCACAACATTCGGCGACCGACCAGCGACGCTCTTGTTCCCACACAACAGACCATCGGACCGTCAGAAGCTCTGTTGGCAAAGAGGCAGAAAGACGTGCTGACACCGCCACCATAGGGGAAGCGACGGCCTCCAGACCTGCGCACAGCAAACACACCATGCCCGCCGAGCCTCCACCGACCATCTCGCGCACACATCGAACACCTCCCTGAGCGGCCTACAGCCCTCCTGTCCTTCTGTCCCCATTGACTTCCAACCGCCGAGCTATTGAGCCGTCCGGACAGACACCCCGAGCAGGACGACGCTGCTATCAACGCATACCATCCGACACCGAACGCTTCCAGACCAGACAGAGCAGAGCGCATTGCCATTGCGGAGAACAGCCAGTTGGATATACCACACCACGCCTACTCGAATCACGACAATGGGTGTCTCAGAAAGCAAGATCGCCTTCAAGCAGACTGTATCGCGGCTTTTGGACAATCGCAATATCGACTCTGCACATCCAATATGGAACGAGTTGTGGACACTCCCAGAGACAGCCGACGATGTCTTCAGCTTCTGGGCAGCCAACGACATCCGGGAGCTCTTGTGGACACACCCAAACCAGAAGATTGTTGCCGCAGATTACCAGTTCATGCATGAGCCCAAGAGAAATTTGATTACCTTGCTGTACGTGACCATCGCACGATTGGAGCAGCTTCAGACACAACATGTCTTTCCAGAACAACCCAGCATGACCAATCGACAGATTGTCAATTGCATGCGCATCCTGACCCGCGTGATACCTTTCATACATGAAGCCGAGAACATGCAAGAATGGGCCAACCGCTTCTTCTGGCAGCCACAGCGGCCGACATATCTGAACTGGGACCGCTTGAATTCCCGGCCGAACCAGCATTATGATGGTCTTCGTCCGAATGTGCTCTACGATCGTCAGGATGCAGATAAAGAGATTGGACCACCACTGGGTCAGAGACTTCTTGATGTTGTCACCAAATATCTGTTCTTCGCCGGATTCACCTTACCGAGCCGAGAGACCAAAGATGGCACACCAGACCTGGAGATCACGCTCAAAGTCTGGCATTCCGGCGTTGGTAGCGGGTCCAGTCCTTATTGCACACCAGACAATTTCCGGAACCAGTACGAGACCGCACGGCTACTGCTCACCTTGGCAAGCCGCACTATGTATATTCGTCCGGACCAGGTCGCCATGGCTGATAACAAGGCTCTGACATATTTGACGACGCAACTGAATCAGCGCATGATCAATGCAATTAACTGCTCTTTGCTGAACACCGTAATGCGATTCCAGCCCACGGTGTGGAGCCCCATGATTGATTGGGAGGCGCGACGGGACAATAAGAAGGTCCTCGTCAGCACCTGTCTTCAATATCTGCTTGTCAGCATGGTTTACATTCCACCACTCGGTCCGGATGGCAAATCTGTTAAGAATCTTTTCCGCAACTCCATGGCCTCGCTGTTTCGTCCGGACGACTTCCAGTTCACTGATCGAGGCATCAAGCGTGTGCTCGAGCAACCGGTATGTGCACATTTGTCGAGGCGAGGCACATTGAAGCTCCGCAGTGCACCATCAATTCATCCATCGCTGACATATACCAGGTCTCGTCCAATAGGTCCTTCATCCCTAAGAGCGATAAGGTGGAGTGGGCCCCGGACATGCTGAGCTTCCTTTGGGAAATGGTACAGTGCAATAAGAAGTTCCGCCGATACCTTTGCGACACCAGAATCGCGATGGACTACTTCGTGATTCTGCTCTACTATGTCATGGACGGTATCCGCGACACGACAAACTCGAAGCTTGGTGTTGTCCGCATGAGCGTGTGCATCCTTCAGTCCCTGAGCACCGACCGGGTCTTCGCAACCCACCTGAGAGCACCCTTCCTCCACGTGGACTCTCTGCCTGAGGTCATGCGAATTAAGAGTTTCCATGGCTCTTATGCTGACTTCCTCGTTTGCGTAAGTGACTCAGAAGTAGTGCAAGGGCTGTGCTGACCATTTCCTTAGTCGATGGCCGATATCATTTTGACTACTGAGGAGCGCATGGAGCCAGTATACAGCCCCTGCATCGACATCATCAAGAACATCGCACCATACCAGAAGCATCTCGAGCGTGCAACTTCGTCCAAGCTCATGCGGATTTTCGAGAAGTTGGCACGGCCAGGCTACTTGCTGAGAAACGATGGTAACAACGTTGTTCTGAAGGGGTTGTTGCAGGCATGCCATGCAATCCTCGAAAACAACTTCGAAGGTCGGTCTCTCGGTTCCCGCGTCGAGCTTGTCTGGAGGGAGAAGGCCTAGCTCACTTGCCTCTGCCGAGTCTCAGAGACTCGAGCGGGCGCGGTGTGCTAGGGCGCCCACGCCAGATCCGTGTTGCGGTTCTTTGTGTGATGGATTGGAAGGGAGCCGGGGCTTGTTCGTAGCAAGCTTCGAATTCTTTGACATGATCTCCGCAAATGAATACTCATCTGGACAATGCTTTGTTTGATGCTGTGTTGGAGTGCCTGCTGACGATGCCCAGAAAACCCGCAGTTTGTGAAGGTCTTGATAGCAAGCAAGCACCGCTTTCAAGCCCTGCGCGATCTTACTGTTGATAATGCCTTGGCGGAGCTGGATCGACAAGCGCTTGAACGCAAGGAGCGTGGCGACACAGCTGTGGTTCGTAGTCCGTCTCGACAATCCTCGTTTGATAATGTTCGCACGCCTGCGAATGCAAGAGCAGCGTCTCTGCATAACGTGCCCGAACACGAAAAGCTCGATGACGATCAAAGATTTGCCATAGGAGACGACGAAGATGAAGATGGCGATGGTGAAGCAGAAAGTGCTGTGACTTCACCAATGTCAGAGACAGGTCCCGACGTGCGTCTTAGCGAAAGAGCGCGCGGGAAACAGCCGTTATTGATTGAGACAACCCGCAAAGCAAGCACTACAAGCTTGCCTACACCCACCCCAATGAACACATCGCAGACATTCCGACCATCACAACAGTGGCTAGAAAGCTGGGTCTCGCAATCGCCGCTCGAAGAAATCCTGCACACCATCGAAGAAGCAGAGCTCAGACGACGACATGTCGCTAGCGCTAGAAACTCCACTTCCGAAGATAGTCACCTTCCCGACACAAGTCGCGAAAAACGATCGCTCGAGTCCGCAAGAGAATCCCGTCAATCCGCCCAGTACCAAGCAGCACGTACAGCTGATGGACAAGGTCCTCTCAAGCCTGAAGGTAAGTGCCATGCCACCCTCACCATTTCTGCCATCCTCTCACTGACAATATAAACAGGAGACATCAAGCCAGCAGGCGGAGGACCAGCCAGCTTCCAGTGGACAGCAGCTGCAATCGGATGGTACAATGCGCTGATATGGAGTCGGATCTATTTACAAGAAGGCGAGGCATTTCAAGGCCCGAACGGTCTGTACAGTGCTACAGACATACGCTTGTTCAGGAGACACTCTGCTAGAGAAGAGGTCTCGTTGCGGAATCCTAAGGGCGCTATTGATGCGGTCGGCAATTCGCTTGCGCAGAGGATAGGGAGCTTGTCGATTACGAGCCCGACGACGGGGAATAAATGAATGAGAATCAGCCGTGTGAGAGGTGTGTGTACTGCTTTTTAAAGGCTCATTTGAGGTCTCTTGAGGCCGTATTTTCTGCGGAATCTCGGAAGTCTCATCCAGTTACCTGAACGCATTACTCTTTGAGGTGACTCGACTTAAGATGGGACTCGGACTTCACATAATCATACCTCGCGCACTTTGCTTTCAATAGAGGTAACCATTCTTCTTCCCCCCCTTCCCGTTCCGCCTGCCAAAACCCTTCCATCCGCCCATGCACCCGAAACCACATCTCCACAAGCTCCCTCTCAATCCACGCCCTATTCGCCGAATCCCAAAACTTATCATGCAAAGCCGCACTCTCATCCCCAACATCACGCAACTGCGGCCAATTGTTACAAAATCTCCCAGCAGGCAGAGCCATCCAAGGCATAGGTTCATACTCCGATGCGCGTAGTCAAGCAACCCCATCTCCATGAATTCGCGATCGAAAAGCTTCTTCTCGGGAGAATCAGACTACACGTGGCCCAAGCATTCTTCTACGTGCAAAAGTTCGGCTTCTTCAATGGGATATGGACGCCGATGTCTTCGTCTCAAACGATCGTGTTCCTTGGGCACCTACACCTCGGAGGTGGAGGAACGGGAGGCTTCGTGGAGAAGGGGCTTTACCCTAACGACGCCATCTTCCGAGCAAAAGCACCCTGCTGGCGAAATCCTCTGTCAACTTGGGCCCTGTTCTGTATCGACTGAGTGGAGTAGAGTTCGTTGATGTGTATAGCATCACGATGTTTTTATTTTAGATGAAGTCGATGGCTAAGGCAAAGCAAAGAACTGAACAGTAAGGGTAATCAATGCGGAGACAGGCACCGTGCATAAATAAGTCAACCAATCAGTACCCTGGACCTCGATGCGATGTCCCGCTCCAGACCACGTGATAGACGAAAGCCATTCGTTCAGCACTTCGAATTGATGATGATTTGCACCGCAGCGAAGCTTCGCTCGAAGCTGTTCCCTGTCGACGCCGACGCCCTCTCTCTTTCTGGACGACCGCGGCAATTCCTGGCAGCCATGGATGCGGGTCCCTAGATCTGGAGGAGTATGAACCTGCTGCGATCGACTTCACTTCAGGTCAAATCTGCCTTTGTGCTCTGCTTTCTGGTGACTGCCCTTGGGTTGTACAGTACGACTGAGGTAAAGAGTCCCCCTATACATTGAGCTGACACTGGCCCATAGCCATGCGTCTTCAGACTATACTCCCTATAGTCGCCACATGTAAGTGTTCTGCTGTAACATCTCCCACAAGAAGCTGACGCTCTGCCTCTCACTAGCCGGCTTTATCTCTCACACCTCGGCCTCTCCAAAGAAGCACTCCAGGCACGATCTTCGCCTCAATCACATTCAAGTAATCGGCACGCATAACTCCTACCATCGAGAGATCTCCCGGAGCGAACGCAAAGTCTTCGAACAATACGTCCCCTCACCAGACAACTACTACTATTCTCACTCGAAATGGGCGGATCAACTAGACCACCAACAAGTCCGAAGCTTCGAGATTGATCTCCATTCAGACACTAAGGGCGGATTGTACTCCCAACCTCTGATATGGAAGCTGTCAAACCTCACAAACGAGACAGCACAACCATGGCACGACGAGAAAATGAACGAACCCGGTCTCAAAGTCTTCCACATCACCGACGTCGACACAAACTCCATCTGCCACACATTCATCGAATGCCTTCAGCAGCTCCTGGAATGGTCCAACGCTCACCCAAACCATCTCCCCCTAACTCTCGACCTCGAACTCAAGAACGACGCAATAGCGTGCGCGCTGGGAGGCGTCTGCGCCGAAGAAGCCACGAACTGGAACCTCGAACGCATCCTCAACGTCGACGAAGAAATCCGCAAAATCATGCCGAGAGAGAAACTCATCACCCCCGACGACGTCCGAAAGGCCGGTCTCACGCTCGAAGAATCCGTTGTGAAACATGGCTGGCCCTCTATCGAGCGAAGTCGAGGGAAATTCATGTTCTATTTCGACAACGACCCGAAAAATCAAACGGGCGATATTCGAACTCTCTATCGCAGCAATGGACACGAAAGTCTACAGGATCGCACGGTGTTTACGAATGCGGTGGAGGGAGATGCGGATTGTGCGTTTATCAAGTATAATGATCCCGATGTGAAGGAAATTCAGCGATTGGTGCGGAAAGGGTATTTTGTGAGGACGAGGGCTGATGAGCCGATTCGTACGATTGTTGAGAGGAATGTGACGATGAGGGAGTGGGCGCTCAAGAGTGGTGGGCAGGTTGTGAGTACTGATTTTCCGGCTTATGGGATGAGTGCGCGGTGGGATCGGGATTATGCTGTGCAGTGGGGGGATGGACTTGTGGCGAGGTGTAATCCTGTTACGGCGCCGAAGTGGTGTAAAGATGGTATGGTGCAGGAGAGGAAGGGGCCGAGAAGGGAGCTGTAATGGTTGATATCAGATACCTCGTCGAGATTTCCGACTTGATAATTATCAATATACCTATCGAGATTTGCAGACTCGGCTGCTCTAGTCTTCCAATATTCCCATATCCTGTGACATGATACTGGCTCAAAGAACCAGCAGAATCCACCAGGTCGCCGCGAGCCTTGATTCAAGACTACTCTGAACCGAGACGTCTGACCAGTGAGCCATACTACAACAATCGCTGGTCACCATGTCGGGGGGAGTGAGGCCGTCATCTGGAAGGTGTCATGGGTGTAATCGGCTTAGGATTGAAGTGGTATGTGGCGGTCGTGATATATGCACCCTCCATTGCATGTGCTTGCTGCCTCCCGGCCCGTGGCGTTTGATACCCATGCTGGTACTGTATCGAGCTTGTTCAGCAATTCGGGCAATCGTGTCTGAAGACGCCGAGCCACGCGACAAACTCCCACTTCTGCTGTCACGGGCAAGCAAGGCACGGGCACGGGCACGGGCACGGGCATCGGAGGTGGTGGAGAATGCCGTGCGGCCATTACAGTACGGAGGTACTGCACGGTGCATCATCCCGGTCGGTTGAAGATGTTTGGTGGTGTGCGCATGCCAGCGCGACAGTTACATTTGCCGAGTGGGACTGCGTGTGTCGATGGAGGGGTCCATTGCTCATAAAAAAGAATCATGCTGCAGACAATGCTTTGCCTAGGCTTATTAAGTTGTTTAGTACGAGCACGCCTTCACCTTCCGGAATTGCTTCTTGCTGCTACTCTGCTGACCTCACACTCTTTTGCTCCGAAACACACTCACTACTAATCGTGCGAGTCCTCTACACATTTCACACACCATGGACTTCCCCATAATACGAAGGAAAACCAGCCCGCCGCTGGACGCAACAGCCTTCATCAATGGCTTCCTCGGCGACAGAAGATCGCACGTGCCTGAGAAGAACTTGCCCGGAGGCGGCAATTGGGTGGTGCAGAAGTTCGGTGGCACTTCCGTGGGCAAATTCCCAGTCAAGATCGCCGAGGATATCGTACAGTGAGTACTATACCGTCAATGCCACTGTGACTCGGAATGGCGCAGAAGGACTTTCGCTGAGTATAACAGGGCAGGACTCGAACCAGGCAGGCGCATCGCCGTGGTATGCTCCGCACGATCCTCTACGACTAAGACCGAGGGCACGACCAACCGTCTTGTCCGCGCCGCCATCGATGTGCTTGACCAGAAGTCGGGCAAGTTCCGGGAGATTATTAAGACGATCCAGCTTGATCACTTGCAAGCTGGAAGAGATGCCTGCAGTGTATGGGGAGCGAACAGTCAGATATTGGACGAGTATACTGCTGCGGTCAATCTGGAGTGCAAGACATTGCTCAAGATTCTCGAGAGTGCTCAGTTTCTGAAGGCCGTAACGGACCAGACAGAGGACATGGTGATATCGGCGGGAGAGAAATTGAGCTGTCTGTACATGACGGCCATTCTCCAGAGCAGAGGCGTCAATGCAGTATATGTCGATCTGAGCGAGGTCATTCAATTTGATGTCAGAAAGAGCCTGGACGAGAAGTTCTACTTGGACTTGGGCAAAGCCATTGCGAACAAGATCACTTCGCTGGGGGATGACGTGGTTCCAGTCATCACAGGATACTTTGGTAATGTGCCAGGTGGTTTGCTGAAAGAAATCGGCCGTGGCTACACCGATTTATGCGCGGCCTTGACAGCTGTCGGACTACAGGCAGAGGAGCTGCAGATCTGGAAAGAAGTGGACGGCATCTTCACAGCTGACCCTCGCAAAGTGCCGACTGCTCGCCTTCTGGACAGCGTCACTCCGAGCGAGGCCTCGGAATTGACCTTCTATGGCTCCGAGGTCATCCACCCATTTACTATGGACCAGGTCATCAAAGCCCACATCCCTATCCGGATCAAGAATGTCATGAATCCGCCCAACAAGGGCACAGTGGTCACTCCAGACCGCGAAGACGAGCTTCTCGTCCGCCAGCCAGGACTCTTCCGCGGCCGGAGCAGCTCAAATCTCTCAGCTCAGAACAGGCCAAAGCGGCCAACAGCCGTCACAACGAAGCGAGGCATTACAGTGCTTAACGTGCACTCCAAGAAACGCACTCGCTCCCACGGCTTCTTAATGTCCATCTTCAAAATCTTGGACCACCATCACCTCTCCGTCGACTTGATCTCATCCTCCGAAGTGCACGTCTCCATGGCTTTGCACTCGGAAATATCCCTGTTGTAGTGAGATCAATATCAGCTGTGTCATTGAAGAGGCCAATGCCGATCGGGCTTTGAACGTGGTTCACACGAATGTCGACCTCGTACCCGGAATGGCCATCATATCCCTTGTTGGTCGCCAGCTGCGCAGCATGGTCGGCATTTCTGGAAAGTTCTTGGATGTTTTTTTTTGAGACTTGAAAAGGTATCATTTACTATCTATATCATATAGCTTTGGCAAGCTATCTAGCTGAGGCATCTCCGTCGGATACAGGAGCCTTTCAGCGGCTCAGAATAAATTGAGCATGTTTCGAGCGAAATCATCAAGATTATCGTTATTAGCATAAATCTTTTCGCGCAAGGTCAGTACTTTTGAGCAAAGATCGCCTTTCGATCGGCGGAGCAATGTGAGGGCACATGTAGTGTAGATGGCGGCACTCAGCGCTGAGCGACGTTTGATCCTGGCTTTAATATCTTGGGCGGCAGCGACATGGCTTGACTGAGGTCGAATGTCTCCTGTGGATGCACGCTGAAGTCGCGGAATCGGCCCATGTCGGGCGGGTGGGCAATACTGTCAAACGTCTCTTGCTGCTCCGAACTGCTCCGGTATTGCGGTGGAGGCGATGGAGTGTCTGGGATGCGAGCGGGACTGGCGTGCAGCTCATCTGATCTGCCTTTCCGAGCGGTGTGTTGCACATTCGGGTATGACCGGAAGGTGGCTTGCACTGAATTGAAATGCTTGGAGCGTCTGCTTTCCTGCTGAGCCCGCTCCACGGCTTCGGTGGTGTCGATATGCTCGACGAGGTTGACGTTAAGCTCTTTTGGTTGCCAGTCTGCAATTGCATGCTGGTATGCGGCATCGAAGTCTGCTTTGTAGAATGGATGGGTGAACCAGGGCATCTGCAAGGCTTGCTTGGCGGTTGGTCTCTGCTCTTCGTCGATCGTCAGACAGCCTTTGATGAATGTCTTTCCGCGATGGCCGAGTTCTTGCCAGTCTTCGTTTTCCTCAAGGCTAGCGATGTGCGCTAGGCATTGTTCGTCGGTCGTGCTGCCATCTGGGAACAGAGGATGATTGGTGATGAGAGCAGCAGCAGTACAGCCAACCGACCACATGTCGATAGCCTTGGAATATCCGCTCGAATGCTCAAGGTCAACTCTTCGCTGTCGCGTTACCTCACTAAGAAGTGGAAGTTAGTGGTCCCTATACCAGAAGATCGGGACTTACGGTGCGATATAGCCAACTGTGCCAACCATAGTGTGCATTCGTCGCACGCCTGCAGCATTTGCTGCTTGCTCGAAGTCGGCAAAGGTCTTGGCGTGGCCGAAGTCGTTCAGAACCAGTCTACCACCATCTTTCCACGACGTCATGAGGATGTTCTCCGGCTTGATGTCCCGGTGGACGACGTTGTGGCTGTGGAGGTAATTAACCGCCTCGAGAAGCTGTTTGACAATGACCGCGACCTGCGTCTCTGATAACCTTCCTTTCTTGTCCATATAAGACAAAAGGTCTCCACCAGTCGCAAGCTCTTGGAAGACGTAGATATTGAATGGAGTAGTGATGACCTTTTCCAACGAGATGACGTTGGGATGAGAAAGCTTTTTGAGCACTTCGACCTCACGAATGGCGCCCCCGCTGTTACGAGCGGCTGAACGCATCGATCGTGAGCAAGTGAAGCTTTCGTCCTGGCCGATCACTTTGCACGCGAATTGCTGGCCGGTATGCGTTTTGATAGCAATGTAGACGGTCGCGTAGCCACCCTTACCGAGAATACGATCCGTCAACTGGTACTGATCAGCAAATGCCGTAGACTCGATTTGACACCTCTCATCGAATTCTGGTTCGTCAATTGCAAGCTGGGGCTCAAAGGTCATAGAGATGCGGTGTGTGAGCTGTACGGAATCGCCGCGATTGAGAAGAACATGGCCTTCGCGGTTGGTCACTGTGACCGGCTGCCCCAAGCCATTGCGCATTTTGCGTCTGAGCAGAACTGAGTTCATCGACAGAACTTTCATATAGACCATGGGAGCGACCTCTGGGATGTCCTCGTCTCCATACACAACGCAGTGTATCTTCAAATGATGGCTGGAAATGTGAGGATCCTCGATATCAAGTGCTTGAAGAATGCCCTTGCGACCAATGTCGAATTCATCGTGTGGAAAGACGCGATAGGTGCCTGCGATTGTCAGCTAATGCTCCGGTCCATACTTGGACAGTCAGGGAGAGATCGCACCAATTTGATGGTGGTCAGTCGCTCGGAAGACGAGGTGCGCGACCGCTATTGGTTCTTGTGGATCTTGCTCAGAAAGTGCCATGTTGAATGGCACCGTTGGCGAGTCTAGATGCAGTGAGCAAATGTTTGTTATTCGAGATGAAGTGCAAATGTTAGAAGGGATACTGCGCGAAGACTTATGCCTCCGACGCTCCTTCCATGCTTTCTGACGTAGCAGCTTAGCGCGCCAAGAGCCGCCCGCACTACCACCTTTCAATTGCAAGCTTCGCAGCTTCCTCTCCTCACCATCGAACTCATCAAGGCACAAAGGGTAGGCGTCCTCGCATTTTCCCGCCCATCATCACATGCATCTAACATCGTCGCAGTCACTCTAGCCAAGATGAGAGCGAAGTGGAGAAAGAAGCGAGTTCGACGCCTGAAGCGCAAGAGAAGAAAGACGAGAGCCAGAAGGTACGGCATTGAAGGCAGCTCCAATGCCACCCACATCCTTCCACCAGCTAACACATCTCGCAGCAAGTAAACGACTCGCACTACAAACCTCCAATGAGTGCTCAACATCCACTGCAACCTGTACAACAACCACCAGTCACGCGACCATGACATGATCTCGGCGCTGAAGGAAGGAGCGGCACCTGACGGCGTCTTGGGGAATGGGCGTACAAACTCCACCACTGAGTGCGGAGGATTATGGGCAAAGCATCACTCGCGTTGGAAGGCAAATGAAGGCGTTTATGCATGCATTATGAAATGGTCACCATGAACCTCTAATACCGGCCTGCTGCTTCGGCGAGCCTTTGAGGATTAGTGGGAGGTCCCATAGCAGTAGCTTTCAGGAATGGAGCTTTGATCTGCTATTTTCTTCGCTGTCTCCGCTCGACTCTGTGGGTGTTTGTCGGCTGCTGATTACTTGACATCGATGTCCGAGCATGTCCAACGAATCCTTCCCCAGCCGCTTCTCCTTGACCGTCTCGGACCTATCATCTGGAACATACATCGGCTCTCCTGGGTGAGCGAACAGTTTCCCTTCACCACAATTGCTAAGATATCTGCCTGTGTCGCCCACTCCGCGCCCAAAGCAGCATAGACTTCGTGTAATGCGACACATTTGCAGCTTCATCGCCCTTGCCTGGCATATCGCCCGTCGAAATCTCTAACCAAAGTTTCATTCTGGATTGATGAGTAGCTAGGGCTCGGGGAAGTGCCCAGTGACGGCACCTTCGGACAGCGCCCAGATTTGTGCAACTTGGAACCCTCACTCACGACAATTCTTCACATCTTCTTCGCTTTTCCGAATAGAATACCCTCGTACCGCAAGGCGGGCCATATGCAGAGGGTCATAGCTCTTAACACGCGATTTCAGCTGGGCGACGCGGTCGAAAGCAAATCATCGCCTTCAAGCGGACTCAGGCTGGAGAACACAGATTAAGGGCAGCAAGAGCAAGGCAGAAATTCTTGGTTGCAGGAGTTGATGCCATGCAGTGGTGCTGTCCGGTAGGACCGTCAAGTTTGAAGATGTCGCACGGAAGGCGAGCAATACTTGAGCCACTATGCTCCTTGGAGCAGGTTTCAACATGGCGGACTGTCCTGATCTCATTCAAGACTGGAGACGTAGCGCTGTCGTCTTGTACAAAGATCTTTACAGCGGCGTGGTTGTTTGTCCTAGGTAGCTTGCGATGATTCGTCCAAGTGCGCAGGACAACAGCAAGCATGTGGATCGCACGAACTTCTCATCTCGGGCGAGCCACACAGTCGAATATGCACCAAAGCCTAGCTTGGTAATGACCGTGTAGCGATCCACAAGGCGGGCGCCGATGAGTATAGGAAAATATTTCTTCTGAGCGTGTCGCAGCAAAGTCTGTTCGTCGATCAGTTGTGAATCGTTCGCGTTTGCCATTATGGAGAATTTTTTTGCAAGTGGGAGGTAGCCGCCAACAAGAATGACGCCAATAGCCCATTGACACGGGGACTGAAGGGCTGTGGTTTAAACGTGCCGAATAACTCACTACATCTTCATTGAGTCGAACAAACAAGGAGGACACACGCGAGATCTTATGAGCACTCTCGGCGCCAAGCCTCTGGGTCGATGGATGCCTTGGGCCTCAATGATGAAGTAGGCGCATGTTCGTGGCCACTACAAAAATTCCATTTCTTCCAAATTGCGAACAGTGAAAGTGCATATCATTCTGATATAACCAGAGCCATATCCTCCACCAATCTCAACAACAACTACTCCCCTCTTTCCCCCCAAAAGCCAACCGACTAATGCTATCCACAATCCCTTTCACACCACTCTTCCCAGCCGCAACCTGACTCGGCGTACTAGAATAACTCGGAGGAACATCCATACAAGGATTACTCGTGAAGAAGTTCCTTGGCCGCAGCAGCACAGTCATGGGCTCAGCGGGCATGACAGGATAGTCTTCGGGAGAGGGGAAATGTATGAGACCGAATGTATGCCACAAGACGACATCGGTGTTGTCGAGAGAGCCTTGAGGATCTGCGGCGATCCAGGCGGGGAGGCCTTGCGAGGGTTCGCCGGAAGTTTGGGGCACGTGGCGGCCGGCTGGATGGATTTGGTCGTCGGAGACTATGGGAGGAGATGGGTTAGTATGCATTATTGGGAAAGGGGATGGGCGAGGCGAAGACGTACATTTTGTTACGTGGACGGCATGGCGGGCGAAGCCAGCTCGTTTCCACACTAGACTGCCCACCTTCGGCAGCAAGGATGGGACTTCTCTGCTGACGAGTTTGTAAGAGACGGGTTTCTTGCTGTATGGGTTGATCTTGTTCGTGTTGGCGATTTCCCAGGTGCGACTTGTTTGGCCGTTGTAGTCACTTCGAGCAGTCTCCATGGTCTCGAGCTTGGTTTTCTTGGCATAGAAGGCATTGCCGTAAAAGTTATCTTTGCTGCCGACCTCACCTTCGCCTTGCACTGCGTCGACCTGAAAGACGGTATTCTCTGGGCCGTCAATATTCGGATCTACGCGCAAACAGAACAAGTGCTGGTGGTTGTGAGCGTTGACGCCTGGGTAGACTTCCGTTCCCCATGGCGCTGCAGATTCACCTGGTGCGAGAGCGTATGTGTTCAAGATGCCAGTAAGCTTGACCTCGAGCTGGATAGTACCATCCAGCATGAAGATCCAGTAGACGCAGTATTCATAGTTGGCTGCTGTGAAGACGTGACTGATCACGAATTTGCGAGCACGAGTCACAGTGCAGGAATCGTCTCGGAAGTCGGTGTGCTTGAACAAGATTCCAGCGTCCTCCTCGTGAATGCAAATTGCGTTCTTGATTGTTTGAGGCTCGCCGGCTTTGTTAACGAAGTCGAAGTCCATGTAGTGGATAGCGCCCTTGCAGTCGCAGCCCAAAGAGAGCGAGTTTGTCATGTATCCTCCACCATACTCACCAAGATCGAAGGCGTGCTTCCTTTGATGTGGATGCTCCGGATTGCCGTATGGCACGACCATCTCCGCCAGAGACAGTCGCCAGAAAAGCGGACGAACATTGCCCTTGTCATTGAACGTGATATTCGAGAGAACCACGCCCTCTCGATAGTTGAAACCAACATGGATATTCCAGTTCTGCCATTTCAATGTTCGCCCTTCTACCGCGAATGACACTCCTTCAGGTTGTGATATATTGATTGGCTTCAAGTCTGTTCTGTGACCACCCTCTTTCTCGATCGCTTCAGCGTGATAGTTGATCGGCGGAGCAGCATTCAGAGGTCTTCGCACTTTCGGCACGTCAATGTGAATAATCTCGTGCGTGTCTGCGTTGAAGATGGGACAAAAATCGAGCGGGAAGGTATACTGGCAATCGTCAATGTTCGGCCGATAATACATCAGAGCTTGTTGTAGTCGAATTCCCGAACCAAATCGTTCGTCGTAGCCAATTGTCCAAGGATCGCAGTAGACTTTGTGCATATCTTGTGGCGGGATTCCAAGGATACCACACTGCTCAATGACCTTTGCGTCTTTTCTTGCCACAGTCTCTGTCAGCTGCAGGTCCTCCATGGTGATTAATGGTTGAACATCTGGAGTCTGCTGCCATTGTGTGATCCTGCCTTCGTTCAGATCAACCAACGCGTCGTATACTTTGCTACCTCTTCCAATTGCCACAATGTCTGCTACTCGATGTGGTCTCGGGACTGTCTGTGGGCTGGCGAGCCATTTCTGCATCTCTGCCTTTCGAGGCTCCCATAGTGTGATCGCATTGAAGTGTACGCTCGGGTATTCTCTTCGCACGATCTCGACCGCTGTTCTGATCTCGTCCAATGTAAGCGGATCGAAAGGATGAGGCTGGACCTTCTGGCCCGTGACATGGGAAGCCATCTGCTGTAAGCGTTCCAAGACCATATTGCCGGCGGACACGGCAGCTCAGCCAGTGCAAGGCAGTTAGGATGGTTCGAGCTGGTATGAGAGAGGTTGATGGTATAGACGAACGGACGGAAACGATAGAACATCTAGACCTACAAGTTATGTATTCTTTAGCTGTACGAATCGACAATACCCCGCCTCAACAATGGCCATGTCCGGCGCGCATCTTCGCATCCATTGGCGACTTTTCTTGTGCCTATCAGCAAGCGCCGGGGCGGGCAGTCAGGGATCTCTGTCCTGATTTGGGAAGCATAGTCGAGCCAAGCATTGATGAAGACGTGAAGTAGTAGTTTATCAGCCGATTGTATGTGTTTGCAATTAGGGAAGGGAAGTGTCAAGACGCGCGCAGACGGCATGGGGGAGATCTGGTTAAGCAAAGACGTTCTTGCGTTCGTTTGAGCACGTTCGCCGGTCAGGCCCATGCTTGCAAGAGCTTGCCCGCAAAGCAAAGCAAACACGTGACTGGGATATGTTCCTGCGTCCAGCGGGTCGTCTTGAAAAGGAAAAAGTTCAACGAATGTTTCACGTGCTTTCAGCACTTCCAATAATGTAGACGACCATCACAGCTGCGTACGCTGCCGAAACCAAGTGTAAAGAGACTAACTATGATCAGTCTCGCAGGATACCTTCGCCAGTGTCGTGATCGTATGCTTGAAGTGGCCGGCGCTCAATCTACGTTCTCGCGATCACGATGGATCTCTGATAATGCTCATGCTCCATTCGAAGCTTGATCAGGTTCGGCTTCAATGACCCCATCTCTATTCTCTTCCAGATCACCCTCATCGTCATCAGCCACATCGAGACCTCGCAGCTCAGCTGCCTCTTCGTCGTCCACCGCGCTCGCGTGGTCATCATCAACAGCTTCCCCAGCAGCCTGTTTCTTTTGTGCCCAGAGCTTCTCCGCACTCCGGGTGCCTTCGCCACTCTTCACTATGTTCCGAATCTCATTTGCCAAAGCGGACGCGTGGTGGCCATATGTCCTTGGCGCCAGTTGTGCTTCAGCCATGTTGTCTTTGGTGAGTCTGTCTGGAATCTTGCTGATGTGCTTGTAATCTTCCATCGGAGGGTCTTCGTTCGCGAACAAGAACCTCATCTTATCCTTCATGATCGTGCGAGCCTTGGCTAGCGTTCCATTGTGATACCAGCCCCACTGGAAAGGGTCGCACTCTTCTCTGATATTCTCGGTGTCAAAAATCTCCTTCACCATGGGATCTGTCACATCACACACTTGCCAGGTTTTACCATTGGCAGTAACATTCCTCCCATCAAAGATATGCGACTCTGGCGCATCACGGCTGTGCCTGAGAGGCCTCGCCCAACTCGTAGATGATATCTGGAACTTTACCTTCTCGTCGGCGGGATCTTTGAATGCTTCTTTGTCAACCTGGAACATCAAAGTCTGGTAGAAGCGGCACTTGGGGTCTTTTCGCGGGTCCACACCATACTTGATGAGACTGTCGCGCCAAGGACCTGCCTTGAAGCTGTAGCCAACGTATTGCGTGGCTTCCTTGAAAATGGTATCACTAATGGGTACCATGGAGTTCAGAGCGACACGCTTGGTCAGAAGAGGACGGGTTTCGAGTAATTTCTGCAGCTCCTTCACCGCCTTTGGAAGCAGCTCGCCAGTCGGACTGCGCCGAGGCAGGTCAATTGGAGCTTTCTGTGGGACTTCGGGTGCGTCTGGTGCAAGAGCCCAAGTCACACGTTTCTGAGGCGCAGAGATGTTCTTGGCAGTCACCTGTCCGCTCTCATCCTGAACATACACAACGCCAGACGCCTGTTGATACTCGTATTTGTGGGGCATGTCAAAGCTGGTGAAGGTGGGAGGAGCAGGAAAAGCGGTGATGTCGTGGTTTCCTATGTCGGTCCTGACGCGGAACTGAGCAAGCTTATCGTAGTCGGGCATCATTGTATGCTCTCTCAGCTGGTGCATGATTGGGAGATCAGCGCTACGAAGCTGGAAGTCTGGCAGAGTCCGAAATCGATGCGTTTCGCGGACCATGCCGACTGCTTCGATGTGGTACTTGCCCTCACTGTCGCGAAGTCTGCGGATGAGATTGGGCGCGGTGATGCCCGCATCTTGTCGCTCTGGCTGTAATGGCTCCTCGAACGGCTCATCGGATCCTCGTTTGCGCTTGCGGCCTGTCCGTTTCGGCACGGTCACCCTGACAAGCACATTTCTGGTACGGCAGCCGGTCGATGCGATCTTCTTGGCGAAGGGATCGTCTGGTCGCAGCGACACTCCGGCCACTGGCTCGGGCAGCTGGTTCTGTTTGCTCGACAATTTTGTATCGTCCACGTGATGCTCGAGAACCTACACATAGCTTCCATGTCAGACCGCACACATCGCGCCGCGCCTCGCGTCACAGTAGTAGTGGACACATACGTGCTTGAGTTGAGCCTCGCCGCCCAGCGACTTGATGCCATTTTCAAAGTTGCGGATGATGCATGGGTGCTCGACGCTCACGATGCGCGCACTGCCCACAGCGTGAACAGGTGCTGCGCCCGGCTGGCCACCCTCGTGATCTTGATGTGACGATGTGCGTTGCATCTCGGAGTGCAGCGGTGGAAGTGTGTTGCTGGAGGTTTGTATGTGCATCACGTGCCGTCGCGGAAGCAGCAGCCGACAGTCTGAAGCTGTTCAATGCCAGCGAATCAGAGGGCAGGGGAGCCTCTTCCCGCATGCGAGAGAGATCAACACGCACACACCACACCGTACGCACGCACGACTCGAGAGCATCGGCGCTCCCATTCCCCTCTCTCGATTTTCGCACACCTGGCAGTCCACGAGTCGTACGCCCTCTCGCTCTCGCCTCGCTCTGGCCCTCCACAGCCTCTGCTGCCCGCAATCTTGGCAGCTTAAGTCGCGCTAGGCTTGGCTCTGGATAGCGGACAGCGGACAGCGGCAGCACAGCAGAGCGGACATCACAACCCACCCGACTCTCCCTCGCCTTGCATTGCCCGCTGCACCACCGCCCTCTCTGCCCGCGCCGCCCGCCTCCCTCCCTCCCTCCCTCACGCTCCCTGCATTATCTACCGCGTTCGTGTGCGCAGCTCCCGGCGAGCATTGCGGAATACCACAGCTGTGCGCATCGCAGCAGCAACGGCACTCTGAGGCCAGGCCAGGGCAGGAACAACAGACCGACTCCAGTGCATTCTCGCAGCCCTGGCGCAGCTCCGTGAGCAGCGCTAGCCCTATCGTCGGCACACCACACTCCCTCCTACCATTACCAACCCGCCGGGCCCACCCTGGGATACTCGACGCATGATGAAGGGCTTCAGGCAGCGCGTGGTAAGCTCGCCCTCCCCCTCCCGAACGCGCTCCTCTAGTATTGATGGCCATTGACACAGCATGACCAGCTCTCGCGGAACAAGGACCGAGAGGGCAACAAGTTGGCGAAGAAGGGCGGCAAAGATGGCTCCTCGGGCACCGCATCCCCCCACGCCGGCTCCAGCACACACTCGCCTGCCGGTTCTGCCCATGCCACGCCGACTTCTTCCACCAGCAACCTCGTCGACTCGCGCAATAAGCCATTGCCCTCCGATGCGCCTACGCAATCACACCCAGGCGCGCCAATGCCTGGTCAGCAACAGATGAACACGGGCCCCAACTCAGGCCACTTCCCACAGCACGGCAATGCTGCCGCAAACCCCTCCAATTCTGCACCAAATCAGCAGGGAGGTGCGTCTACACCAGGCAGGTTGGGACAGCTCGCTCCTAGCGTGGTAATCTCTCCTAGTGCCCCTGTAAGCTGGCCTTTATATGCGTCAAATTCATACAAACCTAACGTCAAGACAGCACATTCCTCCACCAGGCGCCGCCGAAACCATGCCGCACGACCTCGCGCCGCCAAAGGCTGGCCAGAAGAGCTTGTTGTTCGATCGATTGCAAGCCACGCCCAAAGACACGGTGCCTGAAGGTATTAGGACGCCTAAACGACAGCACTCGTCACGCTTCGATATCTCAGACCAAAGGCAGCGTGAGCTCGAGAAGCTCCCGGGCTTCCATGAAGTCCCGCCCAACAGGAGACAGGAGCTGTTCATGCAGAAGCTTGATCAATGCAATATCATATTCGACTTTAACGATGCGTCTGGTGACATGAAGAGCAAAGAGATCAAGCGACTGGCGCTACACGAGCTTCTGGACTATGTCGCGCAGAACCGACAGGTCATATCGGAGCCCATGTACCCGAGAGTCGTCGAGATGTTTGCGAAGAACCTTTTTCGCCCCATCCCGCCTCCGATGAACCCTCAAGGCGAAGCGTTTGATCCTGAGGAGGATGAACCCGTCCTCGAGGTCGCATGGCCTCACATCCAAGTCGTCTACGAGTTCTTCCTTCGCTTCATAGAAAGTCAGGATTTCAACACCAACTATGCGAAGCAGTACATCGACCATAGTTTTGTGCTGCAGCTGCTCGAGCTGTTTGATTCTGAAGATCCAAGAGAAAGAGACTTCTTGAAGACCACACTACACAGGATATACGGAAAATTCCTCAATCTGCGATCTTTCATCAGAAGAAGCATCAACAACGTCTTCTTTCAATTCATATATGAGACGGAGAGGTTTAATGGTATCGCGGAGTTACTGGAAATTCTTGGCTCCATCATCAATGGCTTCGCTTTGCCGCTCAAGGAAGAGCACAAACTCTTCCTCACACGAGTGCTCATTCCTCTGCACAAAGTGAAGAGCTTGAGCATGTATCACCCACAGCTGGCATACTGCATTGTTCAATTCCTGGAGAAGGACGCAGCGCTCACAGAGGAAGTCGTGTTGGGATTATTACGATACTGGCCGAAGGTCAACAGCACGAAGGAGGTCATGTTCTTGAACGAGGTCGAGGATATTTTTGAGGTCATGGATCCGGCCGAATTTGCCAAGGTCCAGGAGCCGCTGTTCAACCAGCTCGCAAAGAGCGTCGCAAGCCCACATTTCCAGGTATGTCTCGAGCGCATACGTGCTTTCTGTCCTTCTGCTGACGATTCTAGGTCGCCGAGCGTGCCCTCTATTTCTGGAACAATGAGTACTTCTGTAATCTTGTGAGCGACAATGTTGATGTGATTTTGCCGATAATGTTCGCACCTCTATACGAAAACTCGAAAGGTCACTGGAATCGGTAAGTTCGCACAAGCTACCGTCGTATATCTCCGTCGCTTGAAGCTTACAAGTTATAGAACCATACACGGCATGGTATACAACGCCATGAAGCTGTTCATGGAAGTAAACCCACAATTGTTCGACGAGTGCTCGCACGAGTACACCGAGCAACAAAACAACGCAGAAGCTGTCAAGGCGAATCGACAAGCGAAGTGGGACCGGCTGTCGCAACTTGCCGATCAAATGAAGCAGAATGGGCATGCTCCAGCGGTACGCCCTCCCAATGCATATGGCAACACATCGAAAAGCCCTATGCGAAGCGAAGACGGAGATCTGACCTCCATGGAACGACTCCGCTTACAGGACGACAGGAGAGCTGAAAGACACACCAATTCGGTACGTGGATGAGAAGCTCGAGCCTACCTCGCACACGCTGCACTCATCCCCAACATACTTACTCTCTTGAAAATGACCTTCTCCTTTGTATATTCGATCACATGCGCGTATGCACTGCATCGCAAGCACCTGTGTCTGCCTTGCATTGCATCGCGTTGATCCTCTTCGTCCTTGTCTCTTTACATGCATGGAATGACAGTCATGTCATGGCCTTTTGTTCTGATTGGATTTGGCGCGAATTTAGAAGCGTTCCCACGGCAGCAAAAGTCAGCATCAACACACGTCGTCAGCGTCGGATCGACCTAGCACGGGCAACAGGTCGCGAAGCAATAGCAAATCGAGCAATGCTGCGAATTGAGTCGCATGCTAGCATTACTCTTGGGAGGAAATGGAACGAGGCGGGAGTCTTCTTTCGTGGGGTTTGAAATGAAGCGTCTTAGCTTGCGGTGTGGACCGAACGAACGCCTGAGCATGGCGTCTGAATACCTAGAAGGATAGGAGTTTATGAGATGGTATCCTACCAATGTCAGCGAAATATTGCTCAGCAAAACAATCAACACCAGTGAAGTTCATATCGACTTTCAGATTTGTTGTCACGTGCAGTTCCGGCAGCTTGGACAAGCTTTTCGTGGCGCGAAGGCTAAAACTTAGCAAGGCAGGAAATTGTGCCCTGAACATTTTGTCACTTCGACTTCAGCATGTGAAGAATTTCTATTAGCCTCACCGCCCGCGGCTTGAGGCCTGGTCTCCAACATTGATAGCAACATGGCGACCTCACAACTTGCCTTCCGGACATTCCCTGGCTCTTCAGCTTTCTCTGACTTTCGCCTCGATCACCTGAAGTCCGCCTTAGGGGCGAAGGATCTGCAGGCGATATGGGTACATTATATATCGTCGCCGCGTCAGCTTTTGGCCGGCGAGATCTCCATCCTGGATCAACTCCTTGAATATGGAAGCTACCCAGATGTGAAGACTGAACTTTATGGCGCTCTGCTCAAGGCGGTCATTAACGGCAACCATCCCGAGGATGCGACAACGAGCTTGTTCTTCGTCAGCCCTCGGGCAGGCACAATTTCGCCTTGGAGCTCGAAAGCGACGAGCATTGCTCAAGTATGTGGCCTTGGGCAGGTGGTCAGGAGGATAGAGCGTGGCATCATCTTCGCTGCAAGATTTGAGCAGGCCCCACAAGGTGATTCCATCCCAAGCCCGGATTCGTTGTATGATCGCATGACGGAGACGCTCAGCACAAACCCGCCAGATCTCAATGAGATGTTTGCGCAGCTTCCACCTCAACCTTTGGAACGGATAGACCTGTTGCATAGCTCGGCTGGACCTAGAGCTGCGCTGGAGGATGCCAACAAGCGACTTGGTCTCGCGCTAGATGCATCTGAGATGGACTACTTGATCGATGCATATACGAACCAGCTTCAGCGCAACCCTACCGATGTTGAGCTCTTCATGTTCGCACAAGTCAACTCTGAACACTGCAGGCATAAGCAGTTCAACGCAGGCTGGACCATTGACGGAGTTGAGAAAGGTCGAAGCCTGTTTTCTATGATTCGAAATACACACAATACTCATCCAGATCATGTCATATCTGCCTACAGTGACAATGCAGCTGTTCTACAAGGCTTCACAGGAACGCATTGGGCACCTGAGCAGATTAGTGGAGAATGGAAGCAGACCAAGGAGACCGTACATTATCTCGCCAAGGTCGAGACACATAACCATCCAACTGCTGTATCGCCCTATCCTGGAGCTGCGACTGGATCGGGAGGTGAAATTCGAGATGAAGGAGCTGTCGGCAGAGGTTCGAAGCCCAAGTCTGGGTTAGCTGGATTTAGCGTGTCAGATCTGCGCATTCCTGGTCATGAGCAGCCATGGGAGCTTGACATTGGAAAGCCTGCTCATCTCGCAAGCAGTCTGGATATCATGATTGAAGCTCCGATCGGGAGCGCTGCTTTCAACAACGAATTCGGTAGGCCCTGCACAACTGGATATTTCCGCACGCTTTCGATGAATGTACCTGTCGATGAGACTTCGACCGAAGTCAGAGGCTATCATAAGCCAATTATGATTGCAGGTGGCGTAGGTACAGTGCGACCAGAGATGGCGCTTAAGAAGAAGGGTCTGGTAAGCTCTGGTGCTCATCTGGTTGTGCTTGGTGGACCAGCCATGCTCATTGGTCTTGGTGGCGGAGCAGCCTCAAGCATTCAATCAGGCGAGGGAAGCGTCGATCTGGATTTCGCAAGTGTGCAGCGTGGAAATGCTGAAGTGCAGCGCAGAGCGCAAGAAGTCATCAATACTTGCACCTCGCTTGGCCAGCAGAGTCCAATCCAGCTCATCCATGACGTTGGTGCTGGTGGTCTATCGAACGCACTTCCAGAACTTGTCGAAGACGCCGGCTTTGGTGCGAAGTTCGAGCTTAGAGAAATTGACAATGCTGATCCCAGCTTGAGCCCGCTGCAGATCTGGTGTTGCGAGGCTCAAGAGCGATATGTCATGGCGATTGCACCCGACAAGCTCGATACATTCATCAGAATCTGCAAGCGAGAACGTTGTGGCTACTCAGTCGTTGGTCAAGCACAACAGGAGCAACGTCTGGTGCTGATGGATCGTGATTCGAAAGACGAGCCAATACCAATCGACCTGCCAATGTCGACACTATTTGGCAAACCGCCGAAGATGCATAGGACTGTGGACTCCCGCAGACTCAAGCTTCCAGCATTCGACAGCAGTCTGGCCACCTACCTTCCCAAGTCTCCTACAACTACTCAAGCAGTGCTACCCAACGCAGTAGACAGGGTACTTGCTCTACCGGCTGTCGGCTCCAAGTCTTTCCTCATCACGATTGCCGATCGCACTGTCGGTGGCCTCACAGTGCGAGATCAGATGGTTGGGCCTTGGCAGACTCCTGTTGCAGACGTCTCGGTCACTGCGACGTCGCTCACACCTGGAATAAAAACCGGTGAGGCGATGGCTATGGGAGAGAAGCCGACGGTGGCCCTTATCTCGTCGGCAGCATCAGCTCGTATGGCCGTAGCCGAGTCGCTTCTGAACATCGCCGCCGCGAGCATTCCCAACAGACTCAGCAAGATCCGACTTTCAGCGAACTGGATGGCAGCAAGCAGTCATCCTGGCGAAGGTGCTGCGCTCTATGAAGCTGTCGAGGCGATCGGCATGCAGCTTTGTCCCGAACTGGGCATTTCTATACCAGTGGGTAAAGACTCCATGTCAATGAAGACTAAGTGGGAAGGCAAAGAAGTCACTGCACCGCTATCATTGGTCATTTCTGCTTTTGCGCCAGTCAATGACCTAGCCAGCACCTGGACTCCAACACTCAGACGACAAGAAGATGTTGGCGACACACTTTTGATGTTTGTTGATCTGGCTGGTGGCAAGAAGGCTCTAGGTGGCTCGGCTTTGGCACAGGTCTTCAGCCAAGTAGGCAACACGGCTCCAGATGTTCACGATGTCGACTTCATCAAGGATTTCTACCATGCTGTCGAGCAACTTCACGAGTCGGACGTTGTTCTCGCCTATCACGACCGATCAGACGGTGGTCTGTTCACCACTTTGGTCGAAATGATGTTCGCTGGCCGCTGTGGTATTGCTCTAGCCCTTGACAACATTGTCAAATCTGGAAGACCGCAGGATGTTATTGAGACTCTTTTCAACGAAGAGCTTGGCGTCGTCTTCCAGATCCGCAAGAAGCATGAGAATGTGTTCCGCGGAGTCTTCGCGCCCATGTCTCCGATCAAGATCGGCACTGTGCCAAAGGCTTCAAAGCAGGAGCTGACAATTTACTATGGCGCCGATTGCGTCTATCGTGCACCGAGAGCTGAGTTGCAGCAGAAGTGGCACCACACATCTTGGGCAATGCAGAGTCGCAGAGATAACCCTGCATGTGCAGCTGCAGAGAAGGAGAACATCATGAATGATCAGGATCCAGGCTTGCAGTACAAGCTGACATACAAGCCAGATGAGAATATCTCGACCTGGAGCACCACCATCTCATCACAAATCCGAACCAAGCCACGGGTTGCTATCTTACGCGAGCAGGGTGTCAACGGCCAGGCCGAAATGGCCTTCGCCTTCGCTACAGCAGGCTTCAGTCCAATTGACGTGCATATGACTGATATTCTCTCGGGACGCTTCTCGCTCGCGTCATGTGTCGGCCTAGCAGCCTGTGGTGGTTTCAGCTACGGCGACGTTCTCGGTGCTGGTCAAGGCTGGTCAAAAAGTGTGCTGCTACATGAAGGCGCTCGCAACGAGTTCAAGGCCTTCTTCGAGCGCAAAGACACTTTCGCATTGGGCGTCTGCAATGGCTGTCAATTCCTGTCAAGATTGACCGAAATCATCCCAGGAGCAGAGAACTGGCCGACCTTTGAGCGTAACATTAGCGAGCAGTACGAAGCTCGAGTCTGCATGGTCCAAGTTACGAATCCAACTTCTCAGCCGCCTTCGGTCTTCATGCACGGTATGGAGGGCTCATATCTTCCCATCGTCACAGCTCATGGCGAAGGTCGTGCGAATTTCTCGCATACTGGTGCTTCATCACCGCAAGCTCTCGTTGACCAAGGCTTGGTGTCGATGAGATATGTGGACAACAAGTTGACCCCGACTGAGCGTTACCCGTTCAACCCCAACGGCAGCCCTCTCGGTATCACCGGTGTCAGAACCCCAGACGGAAGAGTCCTGGCGTTAATGCCGCATCCCGAACGTACCATCTTGAAGGAAGTCGCCAGCTACCTGCCCGCTGAACAGGCAAAGGAGTGGGGTGAATTTGGTCCATGGTCCAGGATGTTCAAGAGTGCGAGAAGATGGGTTGGCTAGATCCAACATCTCCACATGTCGTAATTGGTTGATGGGTCGGTTTCTGCAGGTCAGCTACGACAGATCAATGATTCTTTTCCTATATCATCCGGATCTCCCGGCATCGTAAGTGAACGATAGTTGACATTGATGATAGCAATCGTCTGCGACGACACTGATCTTTGAGAATGCAACATTTGTGATAAAAGTCCGCGCGAATATACGAGTTCGCATTACCCGGTCGCTAAGTAATCGCGAACATGGCGTTCATTTCTACGATTCTGATCGGCCGCACTAGGTACGTTACGCTTCTGAAACGGCCTGTGCTTCTGCATGGGAGGGATAGATCATTGTACTTCTCTCAATGCTCGAGCACCCACGTCTCACGGCTGAAGCCAAGGTTATGGATGGGACGCTTTTCCTCAGCTGTTACTATAACTCGATCCTGGATAGATCATTGTACTTCTCTCAATGCTCGAGCACTTGCTGACGTTGGCATCTGCTAGCTAATATGTGTACTTCTCATCGTTTGTCTACAGATTCTTGAAGAACTGGATCAATGCTCGAAAATCCGGGCTGCCATGCTTCTTCATGCCAGTACATTTTCCAAACGAGTCAAGCCTTACGCTAAGAATTGTGTAGACCTCTCGATCAAAATCACTTGATGTGGATGGTTACCTGAGTTCCGCTTCGTCCTTGGCTGAAGCGGAATCTTCCTACATGGATAACGGACCGTATCTCACTATGCATTTGCGGCCACGAGTCCCATGAAGGCGCACGACAGTACGAAGTCTGGGGCAAACCGCAGGGCAACGAAGACACGGTCGTTATGGTCACGCCTGATCTCTTCGAAATGAACACTCGACACCCAGAACTTGCTATGGAGATCTTGAGAAACAAAAACCCTCCGTCTCTTCCCTCCAGTAATCCATCTCGCGAAACAAATTCGGAACACGGAGTTTCTCACGACTAAGGGAAAAATTTATCGGATCCCGGCTAGTAAAGCTTCGGTATACATTAATCTTGTAGGAATCCATCAAGATCCCCAACGCATGGAGAAATCTCAACAACCCATCTCCCTCCTCCAGTAATGATGATGATGAAAAACTCTTCCGCCCCTCCCGCTGGCTCCTCCCCCAAAACAGGAGAACTCTTCCGTCCGCCACCGGGGAGTTTCATTCCTTGGAGTTCAGGGCCGAGGGTTTGTCCCGGGCAGAGGATGGCGCAGGTGGAGTTTGTTGGGATTTTTTTTTTCGTTTTGTTTCGGAGGTGTGGGATTGAGGCGGTGAGGTTGGAAGGGGAGACGACGGAAGAGATGGAGCGGAGGTTGGATGAAAAGATGAGGGATAGTGTTTCGATCTTGACGTTGCAGATGAATGGGGTTTATGATATTAAGGGGCATGAGGATGAGGGGGCGGGTTGAAGTTGAGGTTGAGGGTTAGGAGGAGGTAAGGGAAGGTGGGGTGGGGTGAGGTTGGTCGAGACGTGTGATATGTGATGTGTGATATATGATATGTGATCTGCTGAAGACAAATGTTCTAATTACAATGATTCGCTTGTATGTGTCTTGCTAAGTACTGCTTTCGTATGGATGTGTGGTCACTCACAGAGAGGACGAAACAAGAACGCCGTAGAGCCAGCCAACACACTAAGCATGCCTGTCCCTATCCCTGGGTTTGCATCAGTAGCGCAACTCGTTCAATATGTATTGCCACGAACGGCCAGTCCAATTCTCCCAGTCCACTCGACTCATCATCTAAGATCCAACGCTAACACTGAGCCCCAACTCGACCCTCAGCTGGGCGATGACGTCGAGGCTGTAGCCTTGCTGTGCGCAGTAGGACTCGAAGCAAGAGTTGGTCAGTGGTTGGCAGTATCCGATGATTGCCTGCTTGTACGCGGCAATGTCGATGCCAACACCGATTCCAATGTTAACGCTAAGGTCGAATTTTGCTTTCAGGCCAGCAACCACCTCGGCAGAGTATTTGTGCGCATCGCAGACCTGGGTGAAGCAAGTCTGGAATGCTGAGCAGCCGCAGGACCAGTTGGTGCATTGCTGCTTGACGACTTCGACGGCGGCTGACACTTGGGCGTCGATTTCAACGCTCACGCCAACACCAACACCAATGCCGATTTGTGGGTCGCGGACTTCGAGCTCGTTGATGTACTGCTTGGATGTCAGGACTGTTTTTTTATCGATAATATGCCGTCGTGTGACTCACGTCAGCTGGTTGCGGGAGAGCAACAGCGTTGCTGAGAGCCAGAGTGGCCAGTGCGGCGGAGATGTAGCTGAACTGCATGGTGGTTGAGAAAGATTGTTGGACGAACTGGAGTTCAGGCTTCGAGTTTGAGGCTCTTTGAGTCGATGGGAAGAGATGGAAGAGACTGGTGCGGTATCAACAACCTTCTGCAGCGGCTGGCATGCGTCTTTTGTATGCCGATTGTACCATGTCCATCATCGGACCTGGGTCGAGAGAGAACATGCATCTCATGCTTGTGGAGGTTGTATTGACTTCCCGCTCAGCAAGGTGCCATTCCTGTCTGGACCTGTCACTCACATGCCGCCCTGGTTGTGGCGTCGCATCCGCGGCTACGCAGATTTCCTGTTCGGTCGTGGCGTGACTCCGAGTACACGAGGTGGTGTTTGTATGGTCGGCTTAAAAGAGGACATGCTAAAGTTAGAGGCCTGATATAAACTTCTTCAAGGCATTCCTAGAAGAACTCGCAGGCCCATGTTCGCCAAGAGTGGTCCAGAACCCAGAAACTAACATCACTGTTCGTATTCGATACGCTATAAGGAAAGTTTTCCAGGTTCTGGGCGGCTTCTGGCGTTTCTCACGCAGAAGAGCCAAATCATTGGGAGATGCAACGTTGATGTTTTTTCATGCAACACGTTCTGCTGCATATCCATGGAGCTTCATGCTAGCTCGCTGCCGTTTTGAGGGTTGTTCGTAGTCACAAGCTTGCGCTGCAGCTGTCACTTGGGATCCTGATTCCTGAATTAGCTGCCGAGACGTCCCCTGAGCATGGGTATGGGGCCACTACTGTATCAAACTTTTCCCGTGCCGTGAAACGTGATTAGGTTTTGAACCTCTCAGGGCACCCCCAGGAGAAATCAACATCACTAATTCCATTGCAGCACGCGCGATCTCGCCTAGACGGAGCAAAGACGCCGGGAAATGAAGTCGACTGATTTCTGAGTCGTGGTACTGGTTGGTCGATGGGCGACCAGCGAGACGACGAGGGAGCATCGATGTTTGAGGTCAAAGCGAGGAAAGAGTTTCGCACACTTGCCAAGGGCTTAACTTTCACGTCCTTCAGTAGTGCACAAGGTTGAGAGATCAACCCGAGGGCCCCGAGATTATCTGTCTGTCGGGCCAACGTGCCGGTATCGCAGAAAGAGAGTCAAACTCATCATGTCCATTTGCTGTGTATGCCTCGTCAGGCTGCCGCGTCTTCCACAACCTGCTTGTAGCCACCAGTCACAGCATTTCAAATGGCAGGACTCGTATTCGTTGCAAAGGGAGGAAGTCCGAAGTCGACGCATCAGCGCCGATGTGGACTGTATGTATGTAAGATTGATCCTGGTATAGCGGGCGGTTGGTTATACGTGTAGTATGCGCGGGTGGCCGTCAAAGGAAAGCGCACCTGTTCGCCACCTGAAACGCTCCCCGAGAGCGGTGAAAGAGGCTTTGGGATCTTTGCGTGAGACTTGCGCAAGCGGCAGGCAGACTGGTCACTGCAAGGTGAACCTGCGAGATGGGTCTTGCCGGGATGATGCGGTGACGGGAAGTCTGATGGTGGAAGTCACAGGCCTCACGATGGTACATAGAAGTGCTGATGAGATATGTATATCGTACCCTTCGCTCGCCCGTTTCGCTGAGCACAAGTCAGGGTAGAAGTGCTTGCGGGCCCGGGTCATTCGGCACGTTATGTTATGCGTGGCGTTCTCTTCATGTGCTGTGCCCTGTGCTCCGGTGTCGTGTTGGCTGCAATGCGACCTCATTATCATTCTGCCGTCGACATTGTGCATCCAAGTGATCATTCGCGTCGGGCCCTAATAAGCGCAAGCGGACTTGCTCGGCCTTCTGCTCATGCTGTTCCCTTCCCAAGAAGTTCACAAGCTCGTCACTGCCTTCGTGTGCTCAGAAGGCGTCCAACTGAGACAGGTTGCGATCAGTCTTCTCCATCGCCCATGTGAAGCTCTGATTCGTAGCTTGACTGCTCCGAATGGTGAGAACATCGAGTGAGCTTGTTCCGCGGAATTCGAATTGGACATCCATGCATGATTATTAATGCTCGACAGACAAGAGTAAGCCGTTGCTGCCAGTGGGTACCAACGTCGAGGTGAAGGCCGCCAATGCCAGTACCTAGAGAATCAGATATGGGGAGTCCTTGTGAGTCAATGCGCAGTCCGGCGATGGAGAGATCCATGTCGCATCCTCCGCCACAGGTCACCACTATGTCTATCGGGAATCTTAGGATCTGATCACATATCGATGTCAGTCCGAGAAGCGCTTGCTGACGCTGATTCCATGAACTCCTCGCTAAAACGTCATCTTACTCCCACCCAAATCGTTTAGGAACTTGCCCGGAAGATTGGGCTCGAAAGCGACAGCAACGAAGATATGCAGTCGGTCTACACTGCGAGCAGCCATGCAGGTCTTATGATTCTCCCATCTCGAAGCGAACCGCGGCGGACGCCTGGCTCAGCCTCCCGTTGAGTTTTCAAATACCTCGTTGCACGGTCGTGGGAATTCTGCGTGGTATCGCTATTAGTATCACCTGCAATCGAGCTGCGAATTGCCATGTTCGATGGGATCAAATTTTTGAATCCCAATAGGAGCTACAGATTGGAGCCACTGTAGGTAGGTAGATGCGGTATAATGATGAGGGTGGTGCCGGCTGAACAAGGGCCAAGTCAGCGAGCCAAGAAAGACATGGCTGACGGTAAACTTCGAGAGACTGATGCTGGTGGGTGGCAGTCGCACCACCCAAGCGACAGGCACAAAGGGCCGGTAAAGAGGTGGTGAGGTGAAAGATTTCTGTGGGAGGTTGTTGCCGCAGCCTGTTTATCGCCTTGTGCGTGCTTGGCAGACGGATAGCTGACTGCGAGGCGAGGCTTCAAGATTGTCGCCAGCACGTTGTCGTTTGCTGAACGCTCTTCATCTCTACTTCTTCTTGTTGGATAAGCTCTGCACGGCCTTGCTCTTGGTCGCCTTTGGATCAATGCCCTTCCTCTTCAGCGCTTTTTTCAGACTTCTCTCAATGATTTTATTGTCCTCTTCATCGTCCCAGCCTCCAAAGTCATCCTCCTTGACACCATTTCCTTCATTCCCATCGTCATCTTCCACTGCCCCCTCGTCTACGTCCTCCTCCTCATCGTGAACACCATTGCTTTGCTTCTCTCGCCTCTTCTCCTCTGCGCTGCCTTGAGCTCTTACAGCGTTGGCTGGGGTAGGACCGGTCTTCCTGAATTTGGCGACAAAAAAGCCGTCGACGTTGTATGCATGCGGGTAGTACCGTCGTGTCTCTTTCATGCTTTGGTGGAAGCGCTTGGCTTGATACTTGACGAAGCCTTCTTTGCCAAACGCAAGACCAGTCGGAACGAGCTTGACGTTAGGGCGCTTGTTCAGCACATACTGTACAACTTGCTCATTCTCTTCCACTGTGACTGAACAGGTCGAGTACACGATGTAGCCGCCAGTCTTGCTTGCGTGGTCAACAGAATCTACTGCGGCGAGGAGAAGCTGCTTCTGGAGATGAGGGAGGCGCAGGAAGTCGTCGGGCGTCTTGTTCGTCTTCACACTGGCATCTTTTGCGATGACCCCAGTTCCCGAGCAAGGAGCATCGAGAAGAACTCTGTCAAAGCCGCCCATCACCTTGGGAAACTCCAAAGCGGAGTAGTTGCAGACAACGGTATTCTTGACGCCGAGTCTGTGGATATTTCCGATCAGACCTTTCGCACGATCCTTGTTGGAGTCGTTGGAGAAGATGACACCGGTATTCCGCATCAACGCAGCTAGATGTGTTGTCTTTCCTCCTGGCGCAGCTGCCATGTCCAAGACGCGCTCATGCTCTTGCGGTGCCAATGCCATGGCGGGAAGGAAGGAGGATGCGGCTTGTAGTATATAGTGACCTGCGAGGTACTCGGGCGTTGCACCAAGCGGGACTTGCGATTCGAAGATCTGCAATCCGACTTTCGACCATTTACCCACCGGCTCCAGGGTCACGCCACGATTGATGAGCGCATGCGCCAAGTCTCGTCGATGCGTGCGGAGAGTATTGGTCCTGATGACCATGGGTCGTGGCGTCTCGTTCGCGTCGAAGTAGGCGAGTGCTTCTTGTGGTGGGAAGAGTGAGAACAGCTTCTCGGCTAGAAAGGGTGAGTAGCCATAATACGTGCATATGTCCCTCAGCAGAGACGAAGTGTATTCTGCCCGGCTCTTGCCTGGCTCTGCTAGCTCTTTGAATGATGTGAGCACACGCACGGTCTCGGTGATCCTTGTGCGCAGAAGTTGAAGATCTGGGGCAATCAAATTTGACTGCCCATCTTCGCGCACGTCTGGTATGTCTGCAGCAATGTTCGTCTGTAGCGCTCCGTCCTGAAGTTCTTCCTCTGCCTCCGCAGCCTCTTGCGCTTTCTGTTCATCGAGCCTCCGCGACAGTCCAGCAATGTTCGCTGCGGTCAATGTCTCTTCCGCATCCGAATCTTCGTCCTCGGACCACATTTTCTCCTGTCGCACTTCGCTGTCAGACACATCAACATCATCGTCGGATGGTGCATTGGCAAAGTCGTCAGCATCGCTTCCAAGCTCGTCATCGCTGAAGTCTAGATCTTGCTCGATGCCGCCAATTTTGTCTTCGAGGACGTCCGGGTCATCAATGGCATCGCCGCTAAGATCTGCCAATTCGTCGTCCTCGTCGCTTTCAGGCTCGGGTATTGGCTGCTTCTTGGGCTTCTTGACTGCCGGCGCAGACTTCTTCGCTCCATTTGTCTGCGCTGTCTTTGCCGGCTTGTCTTGTGCAACTTTTTGCTTCTTGATCGACGATGTTGTCGGTGCGGCAGACTTGCGCTTTCTCGTTACCAGAGACTCATCTAATGGCGGCGGCGGGCCTTGCTTCTTCATGCGGCGTCCGACTCCCATTTTGGCGGTGAGTATGGCGTATGTGCAGTGCGATCTTGCATGTCACGTCCAGGTGGGACATGGAAATTTTTGGGACGGACCTCACTCCGATGCTGGAAGCTTGGCCGTAAAGCTTGGCGTGCTATAGCAGAACCTCCACGAGCACCATTGTTATGAAGTTGAGATTGATGATGATTATGTAGAGGAGGAAGGCTAATTACAAAGGTAGGCCGTCGCCCTATTAGTCAGCTAGCCCCTGGACCGTTACTTCCTTGTTCCGTAACAGTCTGCCCTAAACAAAAGAAAAGGCACGCCCTCGTGCCGTTGCTCTAACTCTCTCGTCTCGTTGCCTAGATGCTAATCATCTAGTAGGCTGTCTACTGCTTAGGCTAGTCTCGTTGCCTAGATGCCAATTATCTAGTAGGCCGTCTACTACTTAGGTATAATTCTATTATCTACTTAAAGGCATACTAGTACCTTAGCCTTCCTCTCTATAAATTCCGCTCGTTTCTTATTAGCCTTAGCTTCTATAGCTGCCTCCTCGCGTTCTAACTAGGCCTAGACTTGCGCTCGTCGCGTTTCCTTCTTAGCTGCTATCTATCGGTTAGTATATCGCTCTACGGACGGGTCGGTTAGGTCGGTCTATACTCCTATATAGCGATAGAGTACCTATCCTTAGTTGCTTCTAAATTCGGCGCTAAGGTCGTCCGTTAGCTAGGTAGCCTTAGTCGTTGCTACTAATAAACCTTCCTTTCTAGGCTTCTATTTAGGCAGGTTTAGATTATTATTACCCCTATTATCGGTAGCCTTCCTAGTCGCGCGGCGGTTGTCTCTATTTTCGAGTGCCTCGAAGTTAGCTAACAATACTCTAGGGTCTATAGGGTCTGCAGAGTGTTCGTCGTTAGCGACTATTTGCCTTACCCTATACTATCGCCTAACGAACGCAACTTATATAGCCTTAGGGTTGTAATGTACTATAAACTATTACTAGATAAGTTCCTATAATAGCTTGTTATACTCGGACTATAGCTTCTTCGTTAAGTTCTTAACCTTCTTAGGTGCTCGCTTAGTGCCGTCGTCGGCTATATTTCTCTATATAACTAGGTCGATATTAAGTATCTCGTTTAGCGCTAGGTAGAGTATATTAACCTCGATGTCTCGTATTATATCTCTCCGCTCTCTAAGTATCTTATTACGTTTGTCCTTTTTCTTAGGTAATAGTTTAGCTAGCTCTGCCCTCGAAGTCCGATTCTTAGTAGACTAAGCCGTTAGGGCTCTAGCTAGGGCTCTCTTCTTATCCGACGACGTCGTCTCTATTATAGGCGATTCCTTTAGAGTAATAGGTGTCGCCTTCTTAGCCTTTTTCGTTAGCCGAGGAGTTAGAGTTACCTCGTCTTCGTCGATAAGTCGGCCCTTACCCTTATTCTTTCTCTTCTTAGTACTAGATTTCGATAGCGTCTCCTCGTTAGCGTTAAATAGCGTAAACGATAGATAGGCGTTAACTAGCGTCTATAAGATAGGTTCCGGGTCGTCGACAACCTCGTTATTTCTCTTATTCTCGTTATTAGAGATAGGTTCCGTTACTAATCCTACCTCGCTTCGGAATTAATCGATTCTCTATTCTACCGTTATATTGCTCTCTTACGGTTACGGTCTCCGCAAAGGGAAGAAGGTATTAGGCTCGTCGGAGTCGGGCTCGTTAAGAAGGTTATAGGCGTCGCCCTCGCGAGCTAGGCGATAGTCGTTAAGGTCGATATCCGAGAGGTTATTAAGAGCGCCGTTACTTATAGAAACGTCCTTACCGTTACCCTCGCTAGCGTTGCCTAGCAAATTAGTAGCGGCAGTATCGTTAGTAGCGGCTATCTCGCTATTAGCCTCGGCGGTATACGTAAGAAGATCGTTAGGTAGCGTCGTATCGTTAGTATTAGCCTTACTAGCGTCGGCAGTCTACGCGAGGAGGTCGTTAGGTAAAGCTATATCGCGTACGTTAGGCATCTCGCGTAGTAGCGTCTCCTGCTTTATATCGTGTTCTATAGCTTTGCGCTAATAGAAACAGTATCGAATGTCGGAAGTAAGCTCTCGCATTAGCGATAGCAATGTGTTCGCGGAAAGTTATTATTATAGTAAAGTTACTATAGCGAAGTTGTTTTGAAATAAAGTGAACTTAGTGTACGCGCAAGCTTAGTATACGCGCTCCTACCTATTATAGAAGTAAAGCGAACTACGTAGAAGCTACGCGAGAGGAAATGCATATAAGATAAGTCTGTTATATAATGCTCCGTTACTATCCTAGCGGTAGCGACGATCGTAGGCCTTTACTATTATTAGTAGAATGCCTTCCGTTCGTACCTACTTATTAGCTCTAGCTTCTACGTTCTTCTATCTAACTAGATATTCTACAACCTCCTTCCTATACCGACCGACTCGTCGGACTCGTCGGTCTCTTAGCGCTTCTATTTCTAGTAGGGCGTCTCCCTATTCGATACGTATCCTTAAGGGTTGCTTCGTTACTCGCTTATACGGATCCTTAGTATTAGGGTGCGGCTCGAGTTCCGTAATCGAGACTACTAGGTATATCTTCTACGTCTTTAGCAGGTTAATCTAGTAGGCTAGTCTAGTGCTTATAACCTTCGTTACCTTATATAGCCCGATCCTTAGAGGTATAAGCTTTCGGTTGCTAACTCTAGGGATAGCGTAATTCTTAAGCCGTAAGTAGACTATATCGCCTACTGCAGGCTTCTAAGCTACGTACTAAGAGTCGTACCGTTGCTTTATAGCGGCCTATATATAGGCGATATTATTCTCCGCCTTAGCTCGGTAGATATCCCGTTCCTTTACTAAATCCGTCGCGCTAGTCGTTACTATTTAGGCTAGTTCCCTAGGGTTAAAACCTATTAACACCTAGTTCGGTAATATACTAGTTAAGGCGTTAACTAAATTGTTAAGAACTAGCTATATATACGGCGTTGCGTATTCTAATTCTAGATCTCTATTAGAATGTTAGGTAAGGAAGTATCGTAGGGCAATCTCGACGGTCTAGTTCGTTCTCTTAGACTAGCTATTAGCCTGTAGGTAATAGGCAGTCGTTATTAGAAGCTTAACGTTTATCCGCTTAAAAATAGCCTTCTATATCTCGGACGTAAACTTCGGGTCTCTATCGGAGATAATTACGGTCGGTAGGCCCTAATTGCATCGGAATAGCTCGTCGAGTAAGCGGTTAGCCTAAGCCTCCGCTAAGTACGCATTGTTGCTAGTAATTAGGAGTACCTATTTCGTATACTTATCCGTTACTATAAGTATAGCGTTAGTTTCCTAAGCGGAAAGGGATACTACAAAGTTAATCGTAATCGTATAGAAGGGTACTAGCGGGGACAGTATAGGGTTTAAGGACCTATACGGCTTGTGTCGCTTAGTCTGCAACTCTAAGCAGTCCTAATAGTAACTTAGATACTTTTTTAGTCTCTTAGCTAGTTTCCGGATATAGTACTAGTTATTTACTCGGGCATAGGTACGGTAAAAACCGATATAGTACTAGTTATCGTATACGCTACTAAAAATGTTACCCTCTAATGCCTTTAGGATACACAATCGTCGGTCGCCTAAATAGGGCTTATTAAGCTATACTAGGCCTTCGTCGTCGACTAAGAAGCTAGTAGAGCCTAGTTCCGCGTTCTGTACTATAGCTTTAATATTGCTCTAGTATTTATCTTCTTCGTATGCTTCGATAAGCTATTGCTTAAATGCGTCGTCTATTTCTAGTATTATTACTCTATAAACTAGTTCGTCGAATACGTCGCCCTTCGGGAGATAATCGTCTGTCGTTTCTAGGCGCGATAAGGCGTCTAGTACGATATGTTCTCGCCCTAGCTTATAGACTACCTTTAGTAGGAAAAGGGAAAGATATTGCGACGATCTCGTTAGTCGGTTATTAAGCTTGTTAACTAATAACGAAGTTAAGGCAGTCTAGCTTACGATCCCTAGCGTTGCCGCGTAATCCGTAAGTACCGTTACTACTAACTCGTATGCCTCGACTATCTATCGCACGCGTTTAATCGTCTATACTAGGTAGGCGACCTCTAATTCGGTCGGCTAGTACCGTCGCTCTATACTAGAAAGAGTCTTTAACAAAAACAAAATTAGTTGCGTCTTTGTCCTACTAGGATTTTTAGTAATAGCGTCGCCCTCGACGTAGGCTACTATTGCGCCGAAGCCTCGTTTCTTAGACACGTCGATATAGATATATAGCGGCCGGTATCTCGCGAAATAATGCAGTATCGTTAGCTTAGCAAAGGCCTCTTATAGGGCTTAAAACGCAGCTAGTCGTTCCTCCGTTTCCTCGATTAGTATCGTTACTATATAGTGTCGATATGCCTAGCTAGTAGTAGGCGCTCCCTTAAGCCTCTCTATCTTTATCTTCTAGAGCGGTTCCGCTAGTTAAGTATAGTACTTAATATACGTTCTTAGCTACCTAGTTAGCCTAAGATAGTACTCTAGGTCCTTTAGCGTTTGTAGGAACTTAAGCTTAGTAATAGCCGCTAGTTTGTCGGCCGGCGTTGCGGTACCTAAGGCGTCGACTCGTTGCCCTAGTAGCTAGATCGATAGGTATCCGATAAAAGCCTTTTTAGATGCTATAGTTAGCTAGTATCGGTTTAAGGCATCGAACACCTAATTAAGATAGCGTAGGTATTCCTCTAGTGTCTTACTATAAATTACGATATCGTTAATAAAAGCCTTAGCGAACCCGTTAAGTCCTTCTATTCGTAGGATCCTATCGATTTGTCGCTATACGTAGGGCGGCGCGTTCTTATAGCCTATTACGGCGACGTTATACATTTCCTAGCCTCTATAGGAGACTACTAAGAGCTTGTATCGGTCTTCCGCTTTTACTAACTATTAGTAGAAGAACGACTTTATATCGATCGTCGAGATAAATTTAGCGCCTTAGATAGCGGCTAAAACGTCGCCCTATAGCAGCATCGGATAGACGTCTGTTATCGTAATGCGGTTAAGTCTACGGATATCGATAACCGCTCTGCCTTTGCGGCCGTTCTTTAATTCCTTCTAGACTACGAACGTAGGGAACCTAAAAGGTGTTAGTTCCTTCGTCTAGGATATTCGTCCTTAGTCGTACTAGTTTAGCCTACGCCGGTTGCTCTTCCTTAAGCCTCTGTCTAAATAACACAATAGTGTCCTCTTCTCTTAGTAGCCGAATGCTACGTCGCAGCTCTATATCGATGCCGTTCTATATATACGTTAGCTGCTAGCTCTTATTAACTAGGCCGGCGTTACGTATATAGCGTATTACCTCGCTAAGGTAGGTATCTATGCTACGTCGGTTGCCTACGTCTAATAACGTATATTTAAGCCGCGTTAGCTCGTTTAGCAACTCGGATAGTAGCGTCTAGAAGTTCTCTCGCAGCGTCGTAAACTAATAGTCTAGACCTAGTACGTAGCGAAGGCCCTGTTTCGCTAGGTTGTTAAGCGTATTAGTATACTAGGTTAAGGCCGTTCCTCGTAGTAGTACGGGGATTCTAGACTTAACTCGATCGTTACTACGATACGCTATAATATCCTTAAGTCGTTTAATAAAGATATTAACATCTTAGAAGAAGGTATCGGATCCTACGACACTTAGGTCGTCGTCTCCCTTCGGTAGGTCTAGCTAGAAGAAGCTAATTTCCTAGTCCCGCATTCGGTCTAGGTTGCTAGCCTCGTTAAAGATAGGCGTACTATTTCTATTTCCGTTGCCTACTATAGAAGCCTAGCCTACTAGTACCTAGGCAACTGCCGCCTAAATAGCGGCTATTATTTCCGCCGAAATAGCGTCCCCTTATTCCGCTATAGTAGGAGGCTAGACGCTTGTTACCTATATAGTTACTATTATAGATTAAGTTGTCGACGTAGTCGAAGGTCGTATACTTACTATAGAGGTCGCTATTATTATTATTATGTTAGGCGATTGCCGTAGAGGCTGTTATAATCTAGAGGCAGCTGCCCTTAGCTTAGAAGGTAACTTCCCCTTTATAGATAAGTACCTTCTAGACCTACTTACTATAGTAGTCGCTAATAGTAAATTTAGCCTATACCTTCTTCTATAGAACTATAGGAACGAGTTCTATATAGGCTGTCGGTATACTAGTAAGTCGAGCTACTTAGGGGGATAGGTCTCTATCGCCTAGAAGTCCTATAGAAAGCGTCCTAGATAAGACCTAACCTCCGCGTTAGTAATCCGGTTAGTTCGCGCATATATAGCGAAAGCGCGGTTGTCGTCTATAGGGTTTATATAGATATACGTTGCTCCGTATACACGGTCGCAATATAGTAAGGGGAAGTAGTTAGGCTCTTAGTCGGCTTAGCCCCGATCTAGTTGCCTCGTCCTAGTAGCGTCTTAAATAACTCCTAGTAGCGCGAGGGTTTAGTATAAGCGAAGCTACTAATTGTTATAAAGTTGAGATTAATAATAATTATATAGAGGAGGAAGGCTAATTACAAAGGTAGGCCGTCGCCCCATTAGTCAGCCAGCCCCTGGACCGTTACTTCCTTGTTCCGTAACAACCATCACGTGCATGCATGTGCCCCAAGCCACGCTACAATGCTCAGGCGAGACGCCATACGCCATACGCCATACGCCATACGCCATACGCCATACGCCATACAACGCCATCTCGCTTCTCCCTTCCCTCAGCCGCACGTCAGACCTCACCAAATCTGCGTCAACCTCTACTGAAGCATACTATGCCCGTCTCATATGCAATCCAGCATTCCACGGAGCGAGCTTCTCCCGCAAAGGATCCAGACTCTTTCAACACTATGCCTATGATCCAAAACGATGGCGCTGGCAGAGTCGTCCACGTCCACCCAGTACTTCCAAGGCAATGTCGCCAGCGGTAATGCAAGAGTGCAATATGGCAACGTCCATCACCACTATGCTGAACGTACGGAGCTCGAGCAGCAGCAAAGGACTATCAAAATCAGGGTCGATCGCGCTCGAGACGTGAGAGACACGATCAATGACACTATCAATTGGCTTGCTGCTCCTGATGCGAGCTTTACTCATCACGAATCTTACAAGAAACACGAACCCGGGACCGGGAGATGGTTTCTGGACGGCGAAAAGTTTTCGAGCTGGCTAACAGCAGCTTCTCGCATTCTGTGGCTGCACGGCAAGGCTGGATGCTGCAAGACAACTCTGTGTTCCATGGTCATCGAGCACATCTCGCGTCACTTATCAGGGAAGCAAGGCATTGGCTTTGCCTACTTTTATTTTTCATTCCGTGATGTTGCAAAGCAAAGCTACCAAGCCTGGCTGCTCTCCACTATATCTCAGCTACTTTTCGCCACCTGGAAGAAGGCAGACGGCATATTCAAGCTCCTTGAAAGCCGAGCAGCCATACTGAACAGCAGACAAGAGGACGACGGGCCCCATCCTGACATTCTAGACTGGCCAGTCGACAAGTTGGATATAGCGCCCGTGTACGACGATCTCCGAGCTGCACGTGCACGAAATCATAAGCACCCCAAGGACCTCGAATTCATACTCCACGATCTCCTCTCCTGCAAAGAATCGGCGTATCTTGTGCTGGACGGTCTGGATGAGAGTCCTGAAACTGGCGATCTAAGGAAGGATGTCATGGAAGGTTTGAAAAAGACTGTTGATGAACATGAACATGTCAAAATGCTTATTACCAGTCGCCAAGAGTCCGATATCGAGGTTTTCATGAGTCAGCTTTGTGACAGCATTGTCGCGATTGAGGTAAAGCCGGTCAACGACGACATCATGCGTTATGTCAACACGGAGATGGAAAGACACCAAAAGCTGTCGTCTCTTGATCAAAGCACGAAGAATGATATCAAGTGCACGCTTGCCGAGAAAGCGGATGGGATGTAAGAGGAACTTTTATGCTTGTGTGATTTCCTCGCTGACTCAAACAGGTTTCGCTGGGTCTTTTGTCAGCTTGATCAGATCAAGCAATTGAAGCTCCTGACGCCGAACTATGTCTCCCGTGCTCTTAGTGACTTGCCAAAGACACTCGATGAAACGTACGAAAGGATTCTGGTCCAATACGATGGTATTCAAGAAGTCAGGATTGCAATGGAATAGCTGGCCTTTTCAGTCCGTCCATTAAAACTACAAGAGCTGCGAGAAGCTTGTCTCGTGACCGCCGAAACCGATTGCTATTTGCAGGAGACCGGACGAGACGCTATCAAAGAGCTTCTCTTAGGCATGACATCGCTCATCCAGTCACAGAGTGATGCAAAGCTTGACTCCGCACGAGAAGTTACTCTCGGTCATTACTCAGTTAAAGAGTATCTCGTATCCATACGTATACAGAAAAGCGCCGCTGCGAGTTTTTTCTTGGTGGAAGAAATCAGTCACGCCACGATTGCGCAAAGCTGCGTTGCTTATATACTGCATGCCTGTCGGCCTGACAGATACGAGCACGACGGAGAGTCAAAGGCTGTCCATTTCAATGCCGACGGCAGGCGTCCAGCTCCGCGAGAGATGCTATCAAGCGAAATTTACGGTTCAGAACTGGATCAGTTTTCCTTTCAATCAACACTAGCAGACGGATATCTCTCTGTGTGGGCGCACTTTCCGCTTCTCACGTACTCGATCCGATGGGTAGAGCATCAACGCCGCGTTGAGCCATCGCGCTTACCGCAGAAAGCTGGTCAGGCTCTTCAATTCCTATTATTCTGCACGCGCGAAGCCGCACGATTTCTACGGTACATTGCTGCATTTCCTATTATGGCTTCTCCGATGTATAGCAACCGCAAGGTAAACCTGGACGGTGACCTGGACCGCAACTTAACCATCGACCCAGTATTCGCCAGTCATAGTTCGGTCGCTGGCTTTGGACTTGTTCTTTCGAGCCATGAAGGGCTTATCGACACCGTGAAACGTATAGTGCATCAGGAGAACCACTGGTCGAAATTTGCGAGTGACCTTGCAGTCGCTCTGGTCGCAGCCTCGCGAGCCGGTAACACTGATGTTGCGCAATGTGTCGTCGACGGCGGTGCAAACATCGACTTCATCTGCGGGAAGATGGGAACAGCGCTGGAGCAAGCGTCTTTTCGTGGTCATACTGAAATTGTGTCCTTGCTACTTGAACGTGATGCAGATCACAGCCTATTTGCAGTAGGAACGCCACTGCAGCGCGCATCGAATAATGGCTATGAGCAGATTGTGAAACTGCTATTGGCGAAGGGAGCGAGTCCAAACTACGTGCCGATATCAGGCACCGCTCTGCAGCAGGCCGCTGGTGGGGGCTACCAGGGCATTATTAAGGATCTATTGGACGCCGGAGCAGACCCAAACCTGCTAGGAGAAAAGTATGGTGGAACGGCAATCCAACGCGCCGCTTGCGAAGGCCACGCAAACTGCGTGAGACTGATTGCCCAGGCAGGAGGCGATCCTGATCTGATCGAGCCGGGGACATACGCTGCTATCTATCGTGCCATATTTCTGAAGCGCGTTGAGTCAATCGAGGCACTCATCGATGCAGGAGCCACACTTGGTCGGGGACGTCGAACAAATGACACACCTCTCCATGCAGCAATTCGGGGTTACGCAGATGATATCGCACATTTGCTGTTGTCTGCCAACGCGCCGATCAATGAGCAGATCCAGGAGCAGAGCAACTTACTGGAACATGCAATAAAGTACACCGCGGAGACTTCTGGCGTTGTTGAGGCAATACTGAATGCTGGGTTCAATGTTGACGTTCTGCCATCTCCTTTCGTTGTTACCAGCGATACTACGGCACGCATATTAGCACGATATCAAGTCCGAAACCTGTACCAGTCTTGGGTCGAGGCGTACAGAATTGACCTTCCAAAAGAAAGTACAACCCAGAACTTCTACTACATGGATGAGTTCAGCCAGTGGCACAGTGCATTTGCAGAGACAGATACTCAGGCTGAAGCGGAAAGCACCAACCAATCCCAGGACAGACGGCAAATTTACATCAGATGGACTAATGAGCTTGGACAACGCCTGCTTGCGGAAGACTGGACACCGATGACTCCCAGACCAATATTTCAGCCTCCGGTGGCCTATCGAAATACATTGCATCAGCGGTTACGGCTGAAGACGAAAGCCCCTTGGCTTGTTGACGACCGGGCGCCGTGGGATGACGACGAAACATCGGAAAGTCCCCAACCACTGGTCAATCGACGCTGGAGTCTAGATTCTTTGGAAAGTGATGGGACCGTCACCCGTTGGCCAGGATCACGACACATTTTCTCTTCATCAAGCTATCTGCGTCGTCCGAGATCAGCCGGTGAAGGAACAGAGTTGCACGACGGTGATAGCCAAGACGATTATGAATACGCTAGTGACATAGAAAGAGAGAACGACTTTGATGGCTGGAGCGTGGTCAGCAGATTTGAGGCCAATGACAAGATAATTATCGCGCCGAATGACCAGGAACCACCCATTGAGAAGAGCCAAGGAAGTCGAATGTCGATGATTCTGCGGACTCCATTTTCGCTCCGCACAGATCACGCACAACGCCTGGGTGCGTCCGCTCTACTGCTTCACAGTAGGACTCCTTCTCCTTTTGAGAGAGCATCAGCGCCGGAGTCTGAAGCGGATGTTGATTGATCCTGTGAAAGTGATGTTGCGCTCCGACTTGCCTTCACTTCTCATTCGGAACAAGCCGGTGGCACGTGCTTTTTCTTGCACCTCAATTCAATTTGGACTGTTCGACGAAGCTCGACCAGAACCAACGACTCCCAACCATGACAGATCCAATGACAAAGCTCGACATTCCGTTGCCTTGCTCCTCCACCACGATGGTCGCCTCAAATATGGACTCGCAGAACGCCAATCTACAAGCGCTCGCGGCGGAGCTACACATCGAAATCGCCGGATACCTCGATCGCCGAGTCCTCATCGCTCTTCGCCAGGTCTGTCGCATACTCTCCAATGATACTCGGGACATCTTTGCCGAACGTTTCTTCTCTTCTAGACGCCATGCACTGACGACATCCTCCCTGCAAGTTCTCCGCGACATAAGCCAAACCCCAGTATTGGCACGCCATATTCGCACCGTGGAGCTAGTCGCAATTCGCATCGTGCGAGACGGCCATCACGAGAGTCTTGACCCGCGAGAGAAGAATGCCAAGTCATGGTACACTGAAGAGAGGAAGCAATTGGAAATTTGTCAACCGACTCTGCTACTCGAAATCTTCCGTAACTTAGCTGCATTCGGGTTCACGCTTTCCGTGAAGTTGAACACGGAAGTTTGGACTGGTGGGACACCCAGGTCACATATGAAAGCTCATTCCGTAGATCCGCAAGTGGAACTCAGGACCCTGTGGTCTAGCACTAGGGGCATCTACGGCGTGAGGCATCTGCACCAGAGTGTGTGGCCTTGGGCATCAAAAGTCAACATCTGGAGTGACGAAACCGAGTCTGTCACCAAAGACATCAATCAAGTCATGTCGGAGTTCCCGAAGCTGATTGTGGAGCTTCATGTCGCTCGCCCGCCGGTTTCTGCCTTGCATATCGACCAATTATTTACCGACGTGTCGGCGGATAAGCTGGTGAAGATGCGAGTCTCCTGGGCCAACCTCAGCAGTCTGAGTTTGACCATTGCGCCTTGGGACGATTTGGTTGCGGTCTCGCAATCGGGAGGTCTTGGAGATATGCTACATCTCGCGGTCAATTTGCGGGATCTGGCGATCTGCGCACGGGGTCTCGATGGCCTCGATGCGCTCCACCAAGCAGTGGGAAAGATGAGATTGTCAACACTCCGTCTGGGATCAGGATTTTGCTCGGCAGACTCGCTTTGTCAAGTACTGCAATCTCAAGCCGAGACTTTACGACATCTTGAATTGGACAGTGTCCTATCCAGCGACCGTAGCTGGCACGAAGTCTTCAGTCATATGAGCAAAGTACTTAAGCTCGACAGTTTTTGGGCTAGACAATTGGCAACTAACGATGGCGCCCGTATCACTGAAATTCGCGCCGACCCAGAGGATGAAGTATTGTGGATCGAAAGCGATGGAAACATGACAGTTGCTGAGCTTCTGGGCAACTCAGATTCATGGGCGAATGAGGTGACTACATGGGGTGACTAGGACGATCCTAACGACTCTGACGACGACTTCGAAGAAGACGACGATTTCTACGATCCATATGTCTGGCCTGGGCTTTAGGACCTTTGAGACGAATGGAGAAATGGTTAGATGGAAAACAGCAAGAACAGAAACAGCCTCGAGCAACACCGGTCCGACAAGGCTGATCAGAAGTCGATACTATAATCCCGAGCTCTCCTAGAATTCGTCGGCAGAACATGCTTGAGCAAAGCATAAATACCCGTCCCGTAGTATTCAAATACCACACCCACTCCCTGACTTCTTCTCCGCGCTGTTCCAGATCTCGGACTTTGGGTTTCGAAATCTTTGATTTCAGGCTAAAATCATGCATCCGTCGTTC